AAAAAAAAAAAATACCCTGAACACTCGCCCGCCGGACACAGGCGCCAAACTGGGGACGAACCTGGAGGGTCTATGCTGCACACCACCAGCTGCCGCAGGTCCTCCCTATCTCTCCAAATCGGGCTGTCGGCGCTTTTCGGAGGCACCGTCCACTGATCGCCTTCCGGCGGTAGACAGTCCAAAACGGCCTTGCCAAAGGGCCTGTACGGGACATCAAACTCGAGCAGCAGGCTCTCCTGCTCGGCCTCTTTGCTTTCTGCCTTGCCTAGCGCACGCACAAAGTGGCCTTCGGGATATCGGGACGTGCTTTCCCACCGATCGATTGCCACAAGAATTTTTTGGCCCACCAGCGACGGCGCCTGCCGTGTCCGCAGGCGGATCCGGGGAAGCAGGCGCGAGACCGGGGTAGCGAACACGGTTTGTTGTGAAAGCGACGTTGTGTTCGAGGACGTTAGCGACGTGCTATCGATGTGGCAGACGTACCTATGGACCCAGGTTCAGTACCTTATTACTCAGATACAGCCGAAATCACGTTGCACACTCACGATCTCCAGTTACGCTTAATGATGCCGACGACACGACCAGTGGGCTGTCTGGCTGCGTCGCGCGCCTTGGCGTGGTCGGTCTGCAGAGCGCGACGTTCAACCGCCAGAGTCTCCTCGTCTTCGCTCTCATCTTCAGATTCATCGGCATCGTCGTTCTTGAGTGTCGCTAAACGCTATATTAAACACTGCGTGAAATTAGGCGAATGACGATCGCACCTTCTTGATCGACCACTTCGTCGGCAGGTGCTTTCCACTCGCTCCGATCGAACACCTCGACCGCTACGACGTCCCCTTGAACGGCGCGGTTCATGTTCTCTCGCCCGATGAGCAGGACGGGTTTGTCGAATGCGGAGACTGGCACGTTTCCCTGCACCGCGCTCAAGGTCAGCGCCGACCTCGGAGATAGCCGGTATGAATACCTCGAGATAGTTGTATTGGTTGGCGTTGAAGTGGCCTTGGTGCAACAGCCCCGACTTGACACCGGCGAGCAGCGATGACATTGATATATACTGTTTTCGATGTCAGCGCGCGCGAGCCGGGTGACGAACGTGGGGCGTACATCCGGATACAGAGCGTGACGGGCGGCCACCGACCTGGTTGGCTCCAACTCGTCGGACCCTGCAGAAGATACCAGGTCGAGCAACTTGGACGACTCCTTCAGCCCTTCGACGTATTTTTGCACTTGCCGCGGAATGAGCAACCGTGGTGAAAATTTCAGCACGAACGAAGAGAAACTGACCGGAGATAGACCTCAGACCCTCCTGCTCAGCCTTCTTACGATTGGCGGCGTCATCCGTCAGGAGGAGCACTTGTGGGATAGGCCTAGATGGCTGGCCGCGGACAGGAGGACGAGCGAGCGACAAGTGAGCGCCATACCATGAAGTCGCTCTGCGGATACCTGAAAATCGTTTGGTACTGCGGACAGCATCCACACATCGGGTTCCGCACCTCTGTCGTTACGGTCGTTCGGGGACTCTCCCTCCTCTCTGACAATAGCGGTTTCTCTGCGGCACATCACAAAGGCGGCCCTTGGATGCAAAGACACACGACTTACGATCGATATTCATTGTAAAACACCCATATCCTCTTCTCCTCGGCTTTGAGGAGCGCCTTGAGTCGGTTATACAACGGCAAAGAGCGGTGGCGCACTTCTTCCATGACGGTTTGCAGTACTATCGTTGGAGGGTTGAAAAGTTCCGACTCTATGAGGTCCATCTGAATGACACAGACCGCTCAGCTCAGAATGCTTTTTCACATCCGACACGGGCACTGGCTGACTGACCTGTGCGAGAAAAACATTCGTATCCGGCAGTAGATAATGACCATCTGTGTACGCGTCGTGTTCGAGCGAGCCGGCAGAGGGCAGCGTGAATTGTCCAGGATTTTCACAAATGCTGCACTCGCGGATTCCACACCCAACGTCATCTCTCAAGTACCGTTCGCGAAGTACTGTAAAAAGCTCAGGAAGCTACCGATATTTGCAGAGCATGCGAAGCACCTTTGATTACTTTTCCCCTGGCGGTTTTTTTGAAGAATTTTCGCTGTGTAATCACCGCTTCTGTCCTCGGTCGCTTTAGGATAGTGATTTCAGCCATGTTGGAGGGAGGCTAGGAGAGGATAGTGGTGCTCGTAGGCAGCGTCCTGCGGGAGGGCTGAGATTAGATCCGTGCTGCTAATCTCCTCAGCACGTGAGGGTTGACATTGATAAGATAACGCCGCCACCGCTCATCGGCATCCCGCCGCTCCACAGGTCCTTGTCTCACTGGTTTCATTGAAGACATGCACGGCGCTGCTGAGCTTGCGGGCAAATCTGCTCATTATTTCGTAGGATTCTCTCGACCATTCCCTGGGACGGAAGACACAAGTTCCCGGAAAACGGCCATATAGACAAGTTCGAAGGGTCGAATCTCCCGTGACTGCAAAGTTCCTCCGGGGGAGGGCAGGTGGTCCCACGTTCTTCGACCCATATCGCCTTCTGCTCCTGCCCTCTCACGACAAACATGGACGTCTCGTCACTTTTCATGTCGGCTGCACGATTGCTATCCCAGCTGAGAATCCCTTGGCTCCAGCTCTTGTCCGGCTTCCCTACCCAGGTCGTCCTGGACAGCCCAGAAGCCGCGTACAGCCTCTCCTCTATCGCGGGCGTGTACAACTCGTCTCAAACTCCCGGCACCCTCCCGTGGAACACCTTCAATTATTGCAACGCGCCCCATGTAAACGCGGAACACTACAGTCTGCCCGCGGACGCTCCAAATGCATCCCTAGTCCACTTGCACGTTGTGCTCCGGCATCATAAGGTAATCAACAGGGTCCCCATTTAACAACTCGCCATGCGTTGAGATTCGCACTCATGCTCGCTTCCGGCTCCAAATCTCCAGAGAACTCCCGACAACCTGTACCCTCAAGAAAATGAGCTCAACGCGGTACCGTGGACTTGTTCTGATTTCCGTCAATTGAGTTTTGCCGGAGGGGCGACACCCGTCTTGCACCAAACTCTCAGCCCTCCATGGCACCCGTTTCTCGCAACCTTCTGGAACGGCACATGCGACCAGGGCCAGCTCACGCAAGCGGGACTAGAAGACTCGATTCGCCATGGCGCGGTCTGTCGGCCTCCGTTCTAATGGCGTGACGCTTACCCTATGTTTTCATAGGACTTCTGGGCCGTCTATAGCGGAAGACTCGGCTTTTTGCACACTGTCAACGACCGTGATCTCTGTATCCGCACCTCGACCGAAACTCGGACCTTCCATGTAGCAAGCGGCCTTCTGACAGGCATGGACCCGGCCAGCGCTACGAATACCTTTTCAGTGACAACACAGCCATCGGCGGTCAGCGATCAATTGTATCGCAAGAGCTTGAGTACTCATACGTAGCGGTCTAATTCTAACCTGTTAGATCGACTCGATTCCACCACGCTACCCGTGCCCTAAAGCGGATCGCATCCGTTCGGCTTTTCAGTCTGTACCTGCCTGGACAGATCATCTCGAAGAAAATGCCGACCTGCAAGCAAGGTTGGCTGCCACTTTGGGCACTGCTGGCATGGCAGCGTGGTCCTCATGGTGTAGGGATATCTTGTTTCTATGCCTCGCCTGAATTCCGCGCTTATCTCCATCCCAAATTTTCAACTCAATAGACGACCACTACTTTGACACGTTCAGCTCGCGGACTTGCCATGGCCACCCTTTGCCGTGTAATTCTACAGGAGCGTGTGTATCTGAGCAAGACGCCGCCAGGGTTTTTGCGATAGGCGATTTCGAGTATGAGTGCGTACCCCACCCATGCGTTCAGCACGGACGGTTCTGATGCAGATTCCTCCCGCAGCTACATATGGAGCTCCGCCGAGAGCGCAAAAGCGTACACGCAGCTCACGTTTGGTGGGTGGCGTCTCAGTTACCGGCTGCTTTTACTGACTGATTACGACATTGACCCTCGGCAACGACCGCGTGTTCAGGTGTGTTCCTCATCGAGCTCGTCGACAATTTCAACCAGTTTCGTTCCGCCGGAGAAACTTGTAAAGTCAAGTTGTACGTTGGCCATGACGGCACAATGATCCGTCTCGCTGCTTCGCTCGGTCTAGGTCGAAGCGCACCTCTCCGCTGGCCTGCGCTGGGCTCCGAAATTGTCATGGAGGTGAGGGTCCCGCTCAGTCGGATCTTGTGGAGAGCCGAAGCTGATCCAGCTGCCATTACCGCCTCTACCTAGACCTGGCGGACCTCAGACGGGGATCACTTTGTCCGTGTGATGCACGAAGGAACACCTGTCCCGCTCCTTGCCTGGATTCCATTGGATGTGTTCGTTGAGATGCTCGAATCTCAGATACCACGGAACATCCTCGAGGCTTGTACGGAAATCTGAGTCTTCGCAACGGGACGGCGCGTGTCGTGTCTTCGGTGCATGCGACACTTCTTACAGGCGCCGCCGATGCGAAAACAAAAATACAGGAGTTCAGCATGCGTTCGCTTCGGGATTGCCGCATGTCCGATTAGCTCAAGCTTAGAGTCGTGCGCCAGGCCCCAGTTCCTGATCTGAGTTGGTTATCCTTTGCTGAGGCACGGCGACGCGCTGGTAAACAGTACTGGCTCCACAGTCCTCACTCTGTGCCGTTACCTCATGCCCACGGCGAACCTACTTTTGGTGCAGACTGTCTTCCGCCGTGATGCTGACCGGGCTAAACTGCATTTGCGTTGAATGTCCATCGTTTTTACGCTCCAGTCCCGTTTGATGATGATCTTGTAATTTAAAAAAATTTTCTTGCGAGATTGTAAGCATCGCTCTGCCTGTGCTGGTTTATCGCGAGCTCCTAGAGTGCTCAAAATAGTACATATCCGTGCGACATATTAACCAACCTGCCTAGGAACCCCACAGCGAAGTTGATCTCTAAAGTGATTAATTGATTCCTTCAAGTTCTAAGTTTAAGGACTGATTTCATTGAGATTTCGCACCAAGGTTAATGCACGTGACGTAGCAGGAGGACGCGCTCGCAGACACGACAGCAGTGGCATTCGTCCTCAACGCCCTGCTGAGTGGATCTTTGAGTCTCCCGCTCGACAATCTTGGGTCCAGGTTCTGCTGTGCGCTATAGCATACTGTGCGGGTGTATTCGCTGTGGACTAGGTAACAACACCAGCGATGCGCGCCGTCAGATTCTTGCTGGCGGTTTCATGGGCCACACGAATATGGGCTTTACACTCGTCTGAAGTTGGCGTGGTAGACTGGCATAAACCTTTCATTGGCACACCACTACTTGACGCGCACTCTGTCGCACCCAAGTTCCACAGGATCGGGGATGCCGGCGAGCCCACACACAGCGTTGTCTTGACAGCTACCGCCAGCAACGTCCTGGCAGCATTGGATCCGGTAGACGGACACATAGGTGCGTGTACCTCGGACTATATGCAGAATTCTGTTATGGACGCGGTCGAGTACAGTATGGAGATATATGTTTGAAGGCGACGAGCACGTAATCGGGTATAAGCAACATGGAAACGGTGAGTAGAACGCCACCTCGTCCCAAGCTTGAGGGCTTACCGCTCTCAGTTGTTGCCGCTGTGTCCGGGCCTGGTGGCGCTACGCTGAGACTGCTGGACGCCTCGGCAGGCCATTTGCTATTCGAGAGACGGCTGCACAGTCCGGAGTCCGGTCGTCTTTTCGATCCGGAGATGCTGGGGACCTCAATAGCATTTGGTAGTGAGGGGCAGGACAGTGATATTTTTGTCCTTTCCAATGCGCACATTGTGCGGAGGATAGACGGCAAGACGGGAGATGTAGAGTGGGGCTGGACCGCCCCTGATGAGGCGTGCGTATGCGTTTTGGATTGTGTCTGGCGCTGACGAAGTTAACCCAAGAAAGAAAGCTCCCTCGTAGCGTACTCGAAAATCATTTCCACATCATCCACAGTATACGTGATTGGACTCGCAAAGTCCTTTGCTGCATACACCGTGCATGTTTCGGCCTTGTCTGCAACGACCGGAGAGCTTATCTCGTCTATCAATGTCCCATCGAGCATCCGAGATGGTCTCGCAGACTTTCTGACTCTCAGAAACGTTCGGGATTACAATATCGCTCCACATGTTGTTTGGCTCGAAAGCGAGTCGGTCCGGTCGTTCGCCCTCTCGCCAGAGCTCGCCGCAAAGCCGATGATGATCAAGGGCGCTGACTACAAGAGAATTTTAGACGTTGGCCTCGAGGACTTCGGACAGATCGTAGCGCTCAAAAAGGACAGCACGGCCCACGTCTTCGCGCTTGGAAAAGAAGGCTTGAAAGGCATATGGGAGTTCGCAGAATCGGTACGAGTCTCCACCGCCTCGGTAGTCCTACTTTTTTGTCTGACTTCTAAAGGTTTCGTCAAACCGCTACACGGAGTCAATATACAGCAGCGCTGTTGACAAGGATGGCCGACCCTATGTCGCCCGCGTATTCTGGTCCCACGTTTTCAAGGTATGTCAAATTACTCCTGCGCGATCGCAAGCGAAACAGCGCTAATCCGTCCACAGAAAGCCTCTGCGCACATCTTTGCCGCGCATCTTTCGGATGGCAAGGGCCTGGCATCCGGTTTTACCTTCCCTTTTGAGACGAGCGTACACGGCGTAATCAGTCATGTACAGTCGCTGCTTTACTTCCGGTGTTTTCTGTCTGATGATCCTGCAGGTGGCTGTGGACGCAGCGAACCCGGGTGACTTACAAATCATTGCGCGCCTAGCGTTAACGACGAGTACGGGCGCAGTACAGCTCTGGCATCAAGATCAGCTGCAATGGACCCGCGAGGAGGGCTTGTCGGATATCAGAGCCGTAGAGCTTGTAGACCTATCTGAAAGGAAAGTGGCCACCGCGCGTATTGATGATGAGTCATTTGGCGACAGGATCAAGAGACAAATCGCGGAAGCTCAGGTACGGGTCCCCGGCGGACTTAGGTAGCAGTATGCTTAAATCACCACAGGACTTCCCTCAGTATGCCACCAGCTTTGTCAAGCGCTTCGTGACGGGCTCATACGCGTCTGTCTCATCCTCTGTTGCGCCGGATGTCAATGCCTCGGAGCCTCTTGCGCGTGATGCGTTCGGATTCAGAAAGGTTATTGTCGCTGCAACCTCACAAGGAAAGTTGTACGGCATTGATTCTGCAAACGGTGAAGTTTTGTGGAGTCGCGTATTTGGATTAGGCTGGGCAGCAAATGTTGGAGGGCAGGTTCTTCCCGTGAAAATATTCGTAACGCGCACTGTGAGCGATGGGGATTCCCCACAGGTAGTATTGGTAACGCAGCGTAAGGCAACTAATGTGAGCTTGGTTGACATTGATTGGGGTCAAGGCGTTAACTTAAAATTGAATCAGAGTCTTGTAGACACGGTGGTATTCCATGTCGATGCACTGACCGGAGACGATGCTACGGGGAAGTCCCCTTCCAAGGATATTCTGCAAGGGGTAGATGTAATCTCAGGCCCCTTGGTAGAAGCGTTCATGCTCCGGACAGACGCAGGCAGGGTTGTTGTCCTGTTGGATGAATTTGCACAGGTAAATTAATACAATGCCACTGATACGTGGATGAAGATAACATCGATGTTCCAGATCTACTTGTACCCCAATACTCCCGAAAGCCAGGATGCCTTCCGGAGATTAGCGCCGTCCCTGCACATTCCGCTGCGCACCGGACGCCCTGGCCATCGCACTATTACTGGTCACAGGATATCTCCAGAGCCTGAGTTTACTGGTCGACATCTTTCCCTGCCCACATGGACGCTGGCCCTTCCTCCCTCCGAGGACATCCTCGCGATTGTTCCGCGGACTCAGCAGCCTGTTGCATCCCTTGGAAAGGTACTTGGGAATCGCACCACGCTGTACAAGTACCTCAACCCTCACCTCATGGCTGTGGTCACCTCATCCACTAGCCGATGTTCGATTTATTTGGTGGATGGCTCCAAAGGGACGATTGTATACCACGCCGTTCTCCCTTCCGCGGATAGCAAGTGCGACGTGAATGTTGTTCTAGCCGAGAACTGGCTAGTGTATCATTATTTTGACAGCGAAGCGACAGGCGTTAACGAAGCGAAGGGCCACCGTATTGTTTCCGTTGAGTTGTATGAGGGGGGCGGCGTCGATGACAAGACTAGAAGGTTGGATAAGGTTTTATTGAAAGCTGTCAGACACTCTTAATTGACATACGAACGCAGCTCCGAATTGTCTTCTTACTCCAACAAAACAACTTCCCTTACAGCCTTCGAGCAAGCGTATGTCTTTCCCCGCGGAATAAAAGCTATGTCGACAACATCGACGACATATGGCATTACCATCAAGGATCTTATAGGCGCGTGAAAGGGTCACTGTAAGGCGCTCCGCTGATGCTGAAGCTTTCCACACAGTGGCGAATGAAAACTACCAAATACAATCTTTCCCTCGCCGTTTTCTAGACCCTCGCAGGCCGAAACGCAAGCCGACTAGTGAAGAGATGGAAGAGTGGCTGACTCAGTACGACGCACTCCTACCTGATGATCCCAAACGAGTCCTATCCCATGACTATCAGGTCAATATGATTTCCGGTGATATCGGAAGTGTGCTGATGCGTTCTGTTAGGTCGTGGGCACCAAGCATATTCTGACATCCCCCGCCTTGCTCGAATCGACATCGCTCGTCTTCGCGTATGGGCAGGATCTATTCTTTACGCGCATCACGCCATCGAACACATTCGACCTTCTCAGCGAAAACTTCAACAAGGCCCAGCTCGTTCTCACAATCGCTGGCTTGGCCCTTGCGATTGTCATTGCCAAACCCATGGTGCGGAGAAAGCGCTTGAGAGAAAAATGGTACGAATAGTGTTGGAGTCGATAGTTTTGCTATAATCTGTTGTGAAGCCACTGTATATATTCTCCATCCTTTTCTCTCTCGAAATGGGCTACACATGATGTGCAACTTGTTTTGATTTTCTGATGCCGCGCGACGCGCGTTTGGGCGCCAACGCGCTCATTTCAACACGTGCTGGACGCGTCGACTCGCCGTAGCCACGCGCTGCTGTCGCCTTGAGCCTTGCTGTTTCATCTAGCTACTTTCACCTTTCCCCTCGCACGCGCTGCAGCGCTACAGACCCTCTTGTACAAGAAGCCATGAACGGATACATAGATGATGATATTGAGGTTGCAAAGTATGCATCTATCGCTGTATATCAAGAGTACTAGAATCTAATGATCTTGATGATATATTTATTTCAGAGCAATCGCGCTGAGCCTCCAAGAATCTCAACCTAAACCTTCATATCCTCGTCAGATCGATTATATAACCATTAGTGACGATGAGGATGAGCAAGACGATGACGAGAAGCAATTTCAAGCGGACTTGCAACGCGCTATTCAGGCGTCAAAACAGGAGGAAGGGACCAGTTTATCCCCAGCCAGACCTGCCGAACGACAAGCTTCAGCCCCGACAGCTGCGACCCCGTTCCTGTCCGAACGGGCACAGCTCGAGAAGGAGCGGCTCGCAAGACAGAAACGGCTGCGTCCCGATGTTGATCACGATGCTCAGGCTGGATCTGAAGAGGACAGCGATGTGCGTGATGCGAAGAGGCAAAGGCTTTCCTCGTCTTCGTCTGCTAGGTCCTATAGAGCCAACCCCGGTTCTTCTTCCAGTGCTAAATCCGGCCCCATCGCCAGTGGGAGCCACTCGTGGGCCCGAACTCAAGCAATTAGTTCGCAAAGCGGAGCGGCCTCTTCGTCGAAAGAGCAGTTATTCTGGGAGGGCGAACTGCGCCAAACAGGTAATGCACATGTGGATCCCAGAAAAGATACGCTCCCGACATTCAGATTGACGGACATCCTTGCACCCGTGAGTTTCCAAATTTCCCTGAGGTTTCTTGTCGAATTGACTGATCCAGAGAGATGATATCGCATTTGCGATCGTCTCGGCGTACGTATATAACTATTCATGGCTATATTCACTCTTCAGTCCAAATACGCCAGTGATAGCGGTCGCTCAAGATCCTGAAGGTAAGCAAGAGTGATAACGGAACTCAAGCACTGATAGAATCTCGTCTTCAGGGCAGGAGACTATCAAAACTATCCTCCCTAACTGGATCAAAACGACGCCATTTCTTCGCAACGGCATGGGTTGCATGCATATGAAGGTGCGCGCACAATGCGGATATTTGACGTTAAAATTGACCCTTTCAACAGTTTATGCTCGTATGTCGTAGTGCTTAGACGAACTAGTGTAGCATCTCACACCCCATCAGCTATTTTACAAGTCAGGCCGCCTACGCATTATGATCTCTACAGCAAACATGATAGAATACGATTGGCGTGATATTGAAAATGTATGTTCTGGAGCATTTTACTTCCTTCTCTTTGCTTAATCATACATGACTCTTCCAAGACCGCGTGGGTACAGGACGTTCCCCTACGGTCAGCGCCAATATCGCACGATCCGAAGGCGGAAGATTTTGCAGCCGCCATGGTGCGCGTGCTTCGTGCAATCAGCGTGGCTCCTGCTCTTGTATCGCATCTACGCAACGATGTGAGTATGGTTGTCTGGATCCCTTTATTCCGACGTCCTACAAGCTGCACCAATCCCATAGCATCCCGATCTACCTTTACAACGCTTAGAAGAGTTTCGTATGAAGTGGGATTTCTCCAAAGTCAAGGTATCTCTAGTACCCTCAATTGCTGGAAAGCATGAAGGCTGGCCTAAGGTATGAACTAAGTTCTCGAGTTTCCGATAATCTGCTAACAAGTGTTTAGGTCATCTTAGCCGGTCATACTGCATTGATGAAAGCATTACGAAATTTGAACGCAGCAGCAGATAAGGACAAGGAGGTGATACTCGAATGCCAGGTATGCTCTCCGAGATCTCCGCTGCTTATCCACGGACTTGTACTCTACCATGACGATAGGGGTCATCTATTGGCAATTACAGCACACAATGGATGAATGAATTTCATTGTTCAGCACGGGGCGAGTCGGCGCAGTCGTGGCTGGACGTCTCAAAAGCGCGCCGCGCAAAACTTTCATTTCCTCCTGTCAAAATTCTGTTCCCTACCTCGCAATACGTGCGCGACAGCGCTCTAGGTGAAGCGGTGCGTTCCCGCCTGAATCTGAGGATCTTATCCAACTCAGTTTGTTTTGCGCACAGGGTGGTGGCACCATGTTTTGTCGTCGCAACCAGTGGGAGGGTGCAAAGTTCCCGCGGGAGCTGTTCCATCAGTCTAGGAGTAAACGAGGTAAGGTACTTATGCACTCAAAGGTTCGTGTCCCCCGTCTCCGGCTCTAGTAGTTCTGTGCGCCAACTGTGTTACAGATGATTTTAGGCATGTTTCGTTCACGACCTAGCGTCTTCAGTGGGAGCAGCAATCGCTCGGATAGCGAAACCGAGGACGAAGACGATCCGGAGAGTGACCAAGAGAAGCTTATAGGATGGTTGTACGTCGGCTCGCACAACTTTACGCCGTCCGCCTGGGGCACGCTCTCTGGCTCTGCGTTTAACCCAACGTTAAATGTGAGAATCAGTGGTAATCCTGGCCGCACGTGTGGTGACTGACCATTATGCTATAGATTACGAACTATGAGCTTGGGATCGTACTTCCCTTGCGGAGTGAAGAGGAAGCGAACCGAATGGTGTGTTGGGAGCGACCTCCAAAGAAGTATGCACATGGGAAAGATGAGCCATGGGTGAGCTGCTATCCGAATGACATGGTGTTTGAATTGGGCCACTAATAGCACTATCCGACGATGTATTAGATACAGTCGGAATCGCCGGCATTCGCACAGGGTTGAGCCAGTGGCGGTCTCGAAACAGGGCCAGAGGGTTAGCCAAAGTAAGGTCACGAGAAGGTCCGTTAATCATGCTTTGCAAAGATATTCCTTGAACTATGTAACTTGACATACTGCATGGAATGAGACAAAGAGGTGCTGCATTCATGTAGGGCATTTGGCATCAAGAAGAAACTAATGTCGTCGACAGTTTACTTGGGAGCGCATTAGTCGGACTGTGACGGAGCAGATGAGAGATGTATCAAAATACGTTAGCAAAGAAGTACATATTTTACTCTGACAGCCAAAACCGAAGTCTCCAGTCTATAAGTCTCCAACGCGATCTCCACGTCGTCAGTGATTGAAGCTAACCGGCATGTGCGGCATTGAAGGTGCCGGCGCTCACCGATCAGCAAATCTGAGGCAGCTACTCGGGCCAGAGTCCTTTGGGAGAGAGCATCGACACATCGCATTCACCAGTTCAAGGACTACGTTATTATAGGATGACGCGGTCGGAACGTTCAGCAAGTCTTCTTGAAATTCAGAGAGTGATACGGTGTGTGTCAGGTGGCGATCAGATCAGGTTAATTCCTGTCCATGATCCAAGCACTTCACCAGGTCATCTACATGACGATTGTTGTATGCGAAACAACACGGTGTTGGCGGCGTATATTTCGTCCACAGCACCTCCAAGCGCTGCCCCTCCGCCATGCCGGATTTCTTTCGCTATCGCCACCAGCCCATCAGGATCCTCTATTTACTCTACAAAGTCTTCTCTCTCTTTGTGCACCTCACGTACTAGACACTCTGGAATCTTCTTCCAGCATCGCGCCCTTGACGCTCGTGGCCCATGTCGCGCGTACCGGTAGTCAACTTCTTCCGAGTTCTCAGATTCACTCTCATAAAGACATCGGTCAGCAGGAAGCAAAGTTGCAAACTGATCCTGGAATATTGAGCAAGCGGAGAGCGGAGAGTCTGGCCTTGTATGGGTTGAGCCCAACCCCGACTTGATTGTTGGGGAAATCAAAAAGACTGGAATTTAACGGAGTGCTCTCCACGAAAGTACCAGGATTCTGGTACAGGCAAAGAGGGCCAGACGGAAAACGGATCAAAACGCAGGTTTCCTCCCTCTTATTATCTCAGGAGAGGGCCGAGATGGCCCTACACACGGTACGAGGGTTGTCCGCGACCGAGTTATTGCAGACAATGGTGCGGATATAGTAACCTACGTCGAGCTTCCGGACGCAACGCACTGTGTGTCGACCGCCGGGTAATGGCACTCGCCGAAGAGCACTGAAGGCTGCAGTGTGTTTGCTAGGTGGCTTGAAGGTCTTGATACTGCCAAGAAAGTAGCTGTTTTCTTCAGCCTATCTGGAGTCTGAATAATTGCATCAGTGGTATGAACCTGTCCATACCAACGCGTGCTATCACTGAGCCAAAATTAGACCCCACATAGGCTTGAACTTGTGGATGCACTGCTCATATATTGTTTCTCTCGCTCACTCAATTTACGCGACGTCTAGCCGTCTCAGTTCTATAAGATGCAACGCAGTTAAACAGGTATACAGTCATTGCTTGGACACGACGGCAGGCACGGCATTGGAACTAATGCAAGTCTAACGGTAATCGGACCTCGTACAACGCATATAGATCAGTGCATCTATGCATGTGGAGACCATGACGAAGGCCGATGATGTGTATAGACGAGCCCCAAGAATAGAAAACAGCCGAATTGCGAGTCGAGAGCGGCGGCACAACATAAATGAGGTAGGTATGGGGCGCGTATCAGGGCAGTAGGCAGATCAAGAACATGCAGGAGAATAGCTCTACCTCAGTACACACACGGCATAACATCCGAATCGCATTTGCTCGGCGCACGCATCGACTCGGACGGGTACGGACCCGAAATGTGGACAACCTGCACAAAGCAGCGATATTAAGACATGGCATAGAGGCAACCTGCATGAGACGGTGTGACCGACCGCATGAGACTTACCTCGCAATCACGACCGTATCTTGCTTCACATCCATTTTGCTTCGTCTCGCTTTCGGCCATGCCAAACAGCCCACTGTCCTTCCTGGCTGTCACCGGTCTCACTTCATGCATTCCGTAGTCTCCCACATCCGCACCGATTCCAGTCACACATGGAAACCCAAATGTTTCGCGCACCGTAGGCCGGGACGGCCGCGCCCGCGTCCTAGGGACCGTAAATGATGCGTACAAATCCCGGTCCATTGTGCCTAGATCCACGCCATCCGCGATAGCGGTGACTGAGGACGCCAGTGTCGAAGTATCAGGTCGAGGCGAGGGAACTTGGGTCGGAGCAGACTTGCGTCTTCCCGCCGCTCGAGCAAACAGTGGCTCGAGTGCAGGGCTCCCGAAAAGGACCGGCGATGGCACAGACTTGGCTGTGTGCATGTCCTGCTCCGCTCTGTCATCCATTACGACCGCACTCAGCCCAATGCTTTTGGTCTGGGTCCGGAACAATCTTCCGGAAGGTTCACGTTCTACGCCAGGCTGAGACACCGCCGCAAAAGATGGGCGCAGATCCGATTTGCCTGTAGAGCGGCTTGCAGTAAATGGGAACAAGTCCAGAAATGGTGTCGACTTGCGCTCCTGCCCATTCTCGTCACATTCGCCAAGCGGCCGGAGAACGAATGATGTGGTAGGAAGGGAAGAACGGACTCCTGAGGAGGTTCCACGAATGTGGTGGCGTGCATTGAGCCTGTCCAATACGATAGAATGAAGTGAGAGCTGCAGTAATACAGAAGAAATTTACATTGCCATGAATGAGTTTACATAGACTGCGCATACAACTTTTAGCGGAGCTGTGATATACCAGAGTGAAACCCGAACGCACGCTTTGTCAACATGAATTCAACGCTGATCATGGCGAATGTGTTCGGCAAAGCTGCCATCTGGTACAGCGTCAAGCAACCTACTGCTCAATGAAGGAGAAGCTAGATATGCGCACGGCTATAATTGCTGTGAGAGAGCACAGACTTCAGAACAAGCGGCATTAGCACGACTTGAAAAAGGGATCTCCATTACATTACGTGCCTAGTGACCACTCCAGTGTTGAGTGTATAGACCATCAGCTGCGAAACGGTTGAATCACTTCTATATTGACTGAGGTTAGTGCCGGCACACACATTATATAAATCGAACACACTTGGCCATTCCAGTGCGACAACGTGCGAGTAGGACACATAGGGAGAATGCGATGATCGCATCGACGAAAGTTGCGGCACCCAAGGGAAAGTATGTCACCCACTGTTCAGAGGTTTACTGTTAGTGAATGCAGGGCGATGAATGGCGTGACGCGATTGTTCACTTTTGCGGCGAGCAAGTCAGTATACAGTTTGAATTGCGTGCTGAAAAGAGAACTCAGTTGAGGGGTGTCGCAACGAGATAATACACTATCTGGCGTACATCTCATAGCAAAGAACTAGTAACTCAGAGTTTCCGCGTCAGTGAAACCATGGGTTGTTCGTAGTAGACATCACCTACGGATCGCCGCACCTAGGAACAAACTCAAGATAAATCTTGATCGTAGCATCGACAAATCTGGGATACATGAGGCTCACCATATCCGAGAAATACCACGAAACTCTGCCACGACAGGCAGAAATTCGATGTCAGTGAGAAGACTTTATGGAAGTCGGAAGGTGCATACAACCACATAGGGCAATATCTTCCGCAAGCGAGACCGATGGGTGTCCATCGCATTCACTAAGCCAAAGAATCGTAATGATGTCGTGTGCGAAGCGTTTATGTGGAATTCAATTTAGGAAGTTGTGTCCGATAACCATAACATTGTCAACCATAAGAGATGAATGGAGCATTTGACAGGGAACGTACGTTTCCACAAGCGGAGGGTATAGAGACTGCAGAAGCGAGTCAATGTACGCAATTTTAGATGAACAATTTCTACACGCACGTGTGCACGGATATTACGACAATCGCCTAGAATTGAGTAGTTTTATAGCATGCAAAGAGAACGAAAAGAACGACTCACATCGACCATGATCTGTGCCTGTGCGCCTAGATTGTTAATCATTTTGGACACACGATGCAGAACGCAGAGACAACTACCTTGAAACTCCAGACGATCTCGAACAGCGCTACGGGATCAAAAAAGTTTGCGACGAGATACCAATACACCATGTGTACGCAGAGTGCGACGTGTGTGGCGTCCAAGAGCCTGACCGACAATACGGATAGTGAATATCCGTGGAGCTAGCGTTGTCGAAAAACTCGCCATAACCAACACACCGCAAGCTTGATCCAAAATCCGTCGGTATAGAACTGCTGGAAGTATATGAAAACCTGAAGATTCGTCACACCGAAGAGACTAAGTGGTGTCTCATTAGTTGAAGCCTCGACATGCTGGATAACGACGTACATAGCAGACAGAAATGCGCCAATAACGACAGCGCCGTATGTGTTGTCGAGCTCACCCATCTGACGGTCGACTGCGATGATGGGGAAACTGGGGTAAGGTGTAGATAGGAAAGCGAGCATTTATTGAGCAGCCTCGGGGGCTTAAAGACGGCGCAGCCGTTTCGGAGGATCAATCGTCGACCTGGCTACGTCCATACTGGGAGTAGAGAGCCGTCCGAAATGGCAGGCGTGCGTCTTGATTTGGGACGTATCCAGCATGGATGCGGGGCGGGAAGGCGGGTGCACGTGGGTGCGTCACAGCGAAGATCGACAAACGTCAGGCCTCAGGGCGCCATACACGGCGATTTTATCCAAATATTATCGCGGAGAAGGGTCTGAAATGAATGGTCACGTCAATGCGTTGGATAACATATTTCTGATTCAATATCAATGCAACTCAATTGGCGACTGTTGCAAGATACAGCGAGAGTACGCGTGCGGGAAGGCTGCACAAGAGTGGCTCTATCGTATTCATTCATTATATCCGCGCCATTCCAGGTGTTTTAGCCACCAAATGCCCACGACATCTCACTGCTATTGGGTAGCCATTGTCTCGAGTCTGGTAAACCGTCGCAACTTCACTTTTAGTAAAGTCAAACGGAATCAGTGAATGGAGATCAAAATAGGGTTATAATATTCTAAACATACATATGAGTGTTGACTCGTGGGAGGCGAAGACTTGAATGATTGACTTCAGTTCAATTTGAAGCTTCAGACTCCCAATTCGCATTGAGCGACTCTTCATGCAGTTCACGACCGCTAGCTTTGGCGTAATGCATGAATACGCTACGCCAGAAACGTAAAGCAAGCCTTTCAACGCCATACGAGTAGACTTGTGCGGAATCTGGCCGGAAGCCCTGGTCATGGAGTTGGACAGCAAGGTGTTGTATCCAATGCGGTAGAAATCGATCTATATCAGCAAGCATTTGATGGACACTGATCTTCTCAAAAGACCGACGATGATGGACATTGCCAGAATAGTTTCAGAGCGGATACTTGCGGGTTCAGAGATTAACGACCGGGAGAATGTTTGTTGGCGAGATCAGTGGTGCTAAAAATATGATAACTTTTCAACGACAACGCAACATTAGCCACTATTTCTGTGCGCCCTCTTCTGCGACTCACTTCTATTTCGTATCCGATTGAGCATATAGTGCGAGATATCACGTACGAAGTGCATTCACTAGTTTCGGAAAGGTGTTCGGGCTCTTGTGAAGGATGGCACAGCTCGTGGTGCAAGTACTTCAAGCCATCCTCGTCGTTTGACCCTGCATAATAACTTGCTCCTCCGCCCAGGTATGACCCTCTGGTTGTAGGTATCACGACGCCTTGCACAGCTACATCAGTACATGCAAAAATGCACGCCCAGGGTGACCCACCAACACGAATATCCTCCGGACCCATCACCACGGCGCTCGGTCCAGGAGCATCAGACCGGTTTGCCGCCTTCCCCACGAGTCAGACTATCTTCATCTCCCAGCTTCCCTTTCGACTCGTACATGAACGGTGACCGGTGGCAGCTCCAGGTTCGACACCTGGTCATTGCAAACTCCTCCGCCTCCTTCGCTACCAATTATTAGCTCCTTCTCCTGTGCTGACAAGCTGCCCGTGATGGATATTGATTTTCAGTTTCCGCTACTACGTGCATGAGAAGCTGCTCAAGAAGACATCTTCTAAGAACACACTCACGTTCAACTTATTCGTCGCGCTTAGTCTTTGCTGAGTTCAGTAAGTCTTGTCAGTGTCACGGTCTACAACAAAGACGCGTGACATTACGGTCATGAGTTTGTGACGAGTCGCGATTGAAAATAGATTATCACTAGATTGAACTTCGCATCTCGAATAGTCCTCTCATCTCACCTGCGTGTTATCATTCAATCTTGTTCCGGTTTGAACAATTTGTCCAAGTCACCCTTTTCCTGAAATTAATTCCTAGCAGGCCATGTTGTTACTTGTATATCAATGCCAGCGATGTGGCGACTACCACGATAACCTAGAAAGACATAAAGAGACATCAAGCAGACACAACATTTGCTATCAGTGCCAAAAAGACTTTCCTACAGAATGGGGACTTACACAACATTATGTGCAGAGTCCCCTCCACTTATATTGTCAGCGTTGCGACTCCCACTTTGGCTCGATGGACAAACTCCATACTCACTACAAAGGCGCTCACTTCTATTGCCAGCGCTGCAACGCGGTAGATGTCTAGAGCACACTGCTTCATTGCCATGTCTATGCTAACGCATGCGTTCAGATTTTTGACTCTGACTTGGGGCTACAGGAGCACCACCGCCAAAAGCATCCATACTGCGCAGGATGCAAGCTTGTCTTTGATAGCGACACTCACCTACGCACCCATCTCCGATCCGCCATCCACCAGGGGCGCACGATTATCTGCCCCGGAAGGCAATGCGGGCGAGGCTTCCCATCCGTCGCTGCGCTCATCCTCCACTTCGAGTCTGGGACCTGCCCGTCGCGCGTCACACGCGCACAACTTGACCGCATCGTCGTGCAGCATGACACCAATAACGTTGTCACAAACCCCGCCCGGCTCCTCCGCGGACCAGAGGGACACCCCGCGCCCTCGCAGACGGTCGTGATGTGGGCCACGGAGCGCGCCTGGAACGGCTATCGCTACGAATGCTACCTGTGCCACCGCGAGTACAAGATGCTCTCGGCACTCAATCAGCACCTTCAGAGCCCCGCCCACGCGGACAAGATCTACCGCTGCCCGCGCGCCTACAGCGGCTGTGGAGCAGAGTTTCGAACGCTGAGCGCACTGTGCCAGCATGTGGAGAGCGAGCAGTGTGGAGTGTGCCGCTTCAGTCGCGCCATGCGCTCGGCAGTTGAATCGTTGACCAGTGGGATAGCTCTGTTGGGCATGTAAATGAACCGCAAAACATTTTCGACGTGAGTAAGTATATTATAACTTGTTGTATTAATGGGTTTGAGAAGAGGCTAAATTAGACAAATGAGCTCTAGAGTGATAGAAAGTGTAAAGCGCCTGATACATGATCATTTGGATTGGCATAAGATTTTACGAGTTTAGCCGTTCATGAGCGAGCGGTTCCGAGCACGATGCCCTTCAACCCACGAAAACGATACACATTGGGCTTCTTCAAGTGAGTGGTGGTGTAAGTGTACGGGCCAGTATAGTACATCTTGTCAACAACAGAGGTCAGCTTTATCGTGGAGCGATCCATGCTTGTCTCATAAATGCAGATCACACAATAACGCGCAGCTATTTTATTCCTACGAAGTGAACGCAGGTCCACATAGACGTAGGTGGGTTGCCTAAATGATATGTGAAATCTGTTTCATTCACAATGGAACTTCAAAGGAAAGTCATCAGAATCAGGGTACGTGCATTGAAATGATACCTTTGGTGAGGTACATCGATGCGTGGATCACTCACTCACTCGCAGACATCGACTTATGGAATGCCATCGAGCCAAAATATGATTTAACCGGTGCCTGCTTGTAACCACCAGAGAGAATGCGGAGCATTGCTGTATGAAGTACAAAGTCACGAAAGCTCCCCAGTTTGCATTTCAGACCGTCACGAAGTCGGACGTGGCAGGATCCATTCTCTGTACAAGGAGATTATAATGACTCGGAATAAAAATACGAACGAATCTTACGAGTTTAGCCATTCATGCGCGAGAAGCTGTGAACACGATGCCCGCTCGGCAGGTTCCAGCTTGAGCATGAGCTGTAAAGAGTCAGCCAGCAACTCCGCGTTCCGGGAACCATTCTTGAGGATGGGTTCGTACAGCGGCATGGGGTCCGGTAACGGCACTTTTGCTGAGCCTGTAGTACGAATTGAAAATAGTCAACAAACTCTGCAAACAGGTTGGGTGTACCACATGCGGACCATCTTTGTTGAAGAACACATCGCTATGCTTCCCTCGCTTCAGCAAGTCAGACGGATGATTACCAAAGCGGACGACTTGAACAAGCGGAACCATGTCGTCCATTAAATCTGCGGGAATTATAGGCCGTCCCATCACGAGCTCATAAATCTAGAGCGGGGTCTGTGAGTCGACCCTGGCTTCTGATGTATGGTGGACGCACTATGCACCCTAGATTCCATATGTCGGCAGGCTTCCCCCACCCGGCTCCAACGCAGACCTCGGGCGCACGCAGAGCAGGACTTTGAATCAAGTCTGTGAAGTGCTCGGAAGTCTTGTCTCCCCAACATGCTAATGAGGTAATATCAAAGTCAATTCAATAAGTTAAATCGCGCAGACATAACGCACAGACTCCCACGTCCGCCAGTTTTATCTTTGTGTCTTTCCATGTAGCAGCAGAATTGACATCTCCCTTGGGTAAATAAAACGGGATCGAACAGGATTCATAACGAGTGATCGTAAACCCTCCACGGCCTATATCCGTCGACGCTTCAATATCAGGCATTCCCTGTATTAAATGCATGACCTGGTCGGAGTCGATATCAAACATAATGTTGTTCGGCTTAACGTCTATATCTATGTCAACTTTCGCTTGTGCAAAACATCGTCAGAGCACCACTTCGACCTCTCCTAAGATAATAAGAGGGGGGAGATTGGCGAAGCAACCCTTCATACTCGGGAGAGCGCTGCCTGGCAATATCCAAGAATTCTTCTATGCCTCTTTCGCCGGCAGTGATCCCAACAGCGCAACGGTCGAATAGCCATCCATCGCTGCAGCAACCATATCCGACCGCGCAAAGCACCGTCGATGAATAAGGCTCGAGGTGCATACGGGCCCTACACGGCTCCTGCGCGGACCAGAGGACATCTCATATTCCCGCACACGATTGTGATATGGGCGACGGAATGCACACAAGATGCTCTCGGCACTCAACCAGCCCAGCTAGAGCCCTGCGCATGCGAACAAGATTAGTGCCACTCTTCGTGCACCTACAACGGGTGCGGCATCAATATTTGACGTGAGCTGGGATGTTATATTTCAAATGTAGCTAGATGAGTTGAATAAACATAGCAATAGTACAATGCAAGTGGCTTATGTGCGCCGCGTAGACGGACCGGGAAGAACAAGCTCCCTGGAAATTTGAATTGGTTAGGCGCCATGTAGAGATCAGCATGAGATCTTACGAGTTCAGCCATTCATGTGCGAGCAGTTGCGAACACGATGCCCGCTCAGCTGGGTCCAGTCTCAGCATGAGCTGCAGAAAGTCAATGAACAGCTCTGCGTCCGGAGAACCACGCCTCCTGATAGAATCGGACAGCGGCTTTTGCGCGGGTAACTCGATCTTTGCCGAACCTGTGCAAATCGAAATCCAGAGTGAGCTGCGCAAATGGATCATGGTGCTACCCGACACAAACCATCCTCGTTGAAGAACAGGTCGCTATATTTTCCCTGCTTTACCAGCCCACGTGGGTAGTCGCCGAAGCGGACAACATGCAGAAGCGGCACCGTGTGGTCTTCTGAGTTTGCGGGAATAATAGGCTGCCCCATCACGAGCTCGTAGATCTGGGTCATAGTGAGTCGACTTAAGTCATGCTGTTGAAGGCATAGCGGACGTACCATGCACCCGAGACTCCAGATATCTGCAGGTTTCCCCCATCCAGCCCCGACGCATACTTCGGGAGCACGTAAGGCGGGGCTCTGGATCAACTCGATAGGATATTCCGAAATCTTGTCTCCCCAGCACGCTAATACGCAGACGATGTCAGTCAAAGCGAGACATCATGAACGCCGAACATACAAACACCCAGATCTGCCAATTGGACCTTTGCATCCTTCCAAGCGGCGGAAGAATTGATGTCACCCTCAGGTAACGGATAAGGGATTGGGTTAGTTTCAGTCCGGGTAATATGCATTCCATTGGGAAGTGTGTCGGTTGACACATCGGGCTCAGACATCCTCTGCGTCGATGCTGCAATCTGTTCGGCATTTATGACAAGCATAATATTCGCTGGCTTGATGTCTGTATTTGCATTAATCTTCGATACCCAGGAGACACGAGTTGCATACACGCCTGTGTGAATAATATTACACTCCTCATGTAAGTATTGTATACCTAAAATAATTTGACGGGTAATCCATCTTGCTAGGTTTATCGGCAAGCATTCGTACTTGAAGTAACGGGAAAATGAGTGGAGATCATGACCTAGAGGATCCATGACCAGGCAGAGATGCTTGCCAAGCTGACTGTCGTGGAAGAAATGCTCGCGAAGTTGAATGATAGACGCATAGCCAAGGTGAAGTGGGTTTTTTTCGCGTATGCATTGCAGATACTCAAGTTCATGCAGTACAGGCGAATTCGTTACATAACCTTTGTAAGCGAAGGAATAAATATCGGTTAGAACTCATCTACAGCAGATTTGCGCACCTGCTACCAATTTCAGGGCGGCATAATCACCATTACTAAAAACAAATTCAATATTTTTTGAATCTCGAATAAAGGAATAAAAGCACAGAGATTTGAATGAGTTATGACGAATACTTACCTACGCTGGATGAGCCACACAGTAGAATCGCACCCCCAGCCCAGTTTTCTTAAGATTCGATAATCAGGTCCCAGGGTGTCACCGACTGCGACAGGACAAAACCCCGGGGTTTGTTCGTAACAATCCAGAGATTCCTCGCGAGCAACCCAGGCATGCGCGGAAGTAAGAGTCTTCGCCGACCCGGGTATGGCATGTAAGACTGAGGTGGCGCGAGCTGAAAGACCCCGTAACTTCCGGAGGAAACTCATGGCGATGACTGGATATTAGAAGTCTGAGACCTTTGACGATGCTTGCAACTTGCATATTTCACTTCGATGTGGCGCTACTTGTAGGAAAGCCAAGGGACAAGCCGCAAAGTAAACCAAATATCGGAACAACAGCCTTATTTGTCCTTGGTTCATGGCTCATCAACTTAGGCGCCAAAGATCAACTAGATGGCTGCAGCCATCTGCTTCAAGTGCATCACACTACTTGCTAGGCGTGCGCCACCCAGGGGCCTCAACGAGGCTCCTTGATCTTGATTTTGGGTAGCAGTTGTTCGCGGCTTCTAGGATGAGTCAGTCCCGCGGAAGGTTGGTGGGCCTTTACACTGGATCCTTGGAATCTCTTTCAGAAACCATGATGCGAGAGAAGGTTGCAATGATAATTACAATTATAAAATACAAGACTGGTAAATTTTGTCTGTTATCGGCTCTCTGTATGGTATGCAGTACAATTTATGCGAAAAAGTCCTATTATGATGGATCAGACAGATCCCAGCATGGTGTCTTCGACATATTACGTGTCAACACAGAGGCTAGTGAGATCGTATCATTTCATCTAAAACTGAGTCAGCAAGAAGAACTCAGACCAAAACGTTATATCTGCTCCCTTAGTTATGGTATCTGATGGGTATTGGCTATCCGAGCCCTCCAAATGACTGCAATGTTTGCAAGATACGAGTCAAGATTGACCCACAAATCACAAGTACACACTTACTGTGCTTCCATTCTATTCTATCAATGCTTGCGCTTTTAGATCGCTGGATCTTGTCCAGCAGCCCGCAGCTGAGAGTATGACATAACAAGGGTGGCGCTAGAAGTGGTCAAGGATTCGTTGTAACACCGTGCCAACGCTTAAGGGTTTGAGTTGCTTCATTTGGTAACTCATCCAACGCAGGCTCGTGATGTCAGTTTGGGGATGCGAGCAACCTCAGATAGGTAATCCCATTACAGTTTTCTTCAAGCTTCGTGAGATCAAGATAGGGACTGTTAAATTTCCCTCACGATGACACAGGCGGCTGAACTTGCTGATCGACATGAGTTCGTCCCGACTCTCCGGGCCTCCTGACCGCAAATTCTGCTGGACTCATCCCCTCGGTATTTTTGACATAATCGGCGCATGCTCAGACTAGTTCGGTCCAAATGCAAGGCTCAGAAATCATCTTCATACTACAATTCTCTGTGCGCCGACCGGCTGAAGCTCTACAGAATCCATCCGAAGACATCCAACAGGTCTACAAACAGGTGAGGACAACACCTTTGCCATAACTGTACTAATACTACTGCCTCGTACCAAAGACCTTGCGCCACGTTTCACGATTTTTGTTCCCTCTAGACCGTTGGCTGTGACAATGTGGTGAAAATGACATCTTCGCTACGTCGCCCCTTTTGCTTCAAAGGCGTACTTTCCGAAGCAAATCAAGTCTGGAATTTCTCGATATGAGGCATCGTGCACACCATGGCATTATACTCAGAGAGATTCGAAGTAACATCCATCAACTCCTGGATTGGACGACTTTGTCGAAGTTGCCTTTGAGTGTCTTCGACTCGTCTGGAGACGAACGAGACCATGCTTGGGTTACCATCGGGCTCTTATTCTCTGAATATCTCCGACAACCAATAACTTCTGTCGCGTAATTACGGAGATAATTGCGGCACTCATATGACGCTTCAGGTGTTTATCTTGGATTTCTCCTGACAAATGATCTCTTGATTCACGAGTCCCTCGCTAATATCAATGAGTCTCTCCGTTACAGGTGTAAACAGCTTGTGATGCGAGCACTGCTCTAGACAGCTCCTCGACTGTTTCTGCAGGAACACAGATCGACGCAGACCGGGGTCGACTGACATCTTGACAGCATCTGGTGAAATCCACTCAGTGCCCAGCAGATTCCCTATATCTTGGGGTCTGACAATTAATTGGAATAAGTGGCCGAAATCAATCTTATCATGATGATGATGAACCGACCGTAGTACTCCGCATCTCACTGCCGCCTGTGAGGTGGCTTTGGATGCGAGCGCGAGCGCCCTTGCGCGCGGATCTGTAGCTGGTTCAAACGGCCTCCCTGCACCGCATGCTGGGCCTGGATCCGCTCTCCGTGCTGGCCATTATGTACTCCGAGACGGATGTGTGGCATGTTGGGTACCGCCGCCTCGACCTTACCCTCCGCTACCTCCGCTACGTCCTCACCGTCCACTCCCCCTTTCCCTTTGCTGCCGTCGCAGAAGCGAGGGAGCCTGTTCGCACCGGCCACCCATCTTGGTTGTGTGACCTCCACCGTGCCCTGGCTACCCTACCGTACCCAGTTGCGCTGGACATGCGCGGGTCTCACCGTCGAGTTAGTGGACACCGCTCTGGCAGCTCTTGGTCGCACCATGGGCGATATGGTACGGGGAAACCTGCTAGCGTCTGTACGGGTACCGTTCTTGTGGGGTCGGAAGGTATACATACCTGGTAGGGGCGTCAGCACATGCCCGCCGCTGGAGTTTCGAGCACACCTGAATATCGACGACAGGGCCGACCGTCTCGCGCTAATACGCCTTCTGTGTAGTGACCACCCTCTGGCGGTGGAGCAACTAGGGCGCGTTACCCCGCCTGTGCCGCTTCTGCCAGATGGAGGGCGTCGTGGAAGATGAGGCTCATGTGCTACTGGACTGTCCGGATGGGAGGCTGAGGGCGTTGCGTGAACTATTTATGGATGAAGCCTTCCACGCGGTACCGGTCCTCCTGCACATGCGTCGCTCTCTGTCGCTCGCCGACTGGTTGCTTGCGGTACTCGAACGGCGGGCGTTGGTGGCTCGGACGGCTCGATTTGTGCGCAATGTTTTTGAACTCTGCGCGGACGTGGTGCTGTGGCGTCGGTCGCTTTAAGGCGGTCGGGTGTCGATAGGTACGTCCTCTTCATCCTGTTCTCAGTCTTGCCGGTATTGATTGTGTGGACCTCAATACGACTGGTAAGCTGCATACAAAGTTCTGGATAGCGAGTGTAAGGCCGTACCTGGGGGACTGGGGCAGTGTCTCGCGACTCTTTCCCATGTGGTGGGAACGCGGGTGTCGGCTCCTATACCGGCCGGTGGTGGCCAGGGGCTTCATGTGTGGTCTGTCTCTCTAAGTGGCGTTCGCGGCGGGAGTGGCAGGTGTGTCTCATTGGTATGTTGTACGCGTAATGTAGTGCCGTAGTCGTAACTGCAGGCCTTGCATCAGGCTTATTAGTATCGTATGACGTACCTGTACCGCCTTTGCGAATCTATCCTTCTCCGCGGCAAAAGTGATACCATGTATTGGAGGACTTGAGGTTCATGATGGTTTTAAAATCATAGATCGATTCTGCGTGAATCATCCTGTCATGGATATCTTCGCCATCTTCGCAAGATGTCTCGCAAAAAATACGAAAGCTTAGGCTTCATGTGATATTTGACGCATTCGGTGATTGATCGTGGAACAACGCTTTGGAGAGAAAAAGACCTAACCTTGGTACGCGCCACTTCATCGATATCTCAGTATATGTAGTCCTCGCAAACCAGAAAATTTCCTATAGGCTGCAACGTGGAATGACATCCATCAGCGGTAAACTAGCTGTAGATGGTCATATAAACTCACACCGTTTCCGAGTAAACGAATCGCTTCCCGTTTTCTCGCCAGTTGAAAGTGACGGATCAAGGCTGAGATTTGTTTCTAATGTCGATCCTCCAAAGGTTTTACGGCCCCTACCTCAAGGAAGGGGAAGGTGGCATCAAGAAATGACGTGATCCGTGGTAAATCTTCGTTCTCTGTCTCCAAAGCAAGTGAATTAAAACTGATCTTCTGTAGTTTATGTGACAAGATGGGCTGGGCCTCCAATGGTAGAAGATTCAGTCGAAAACCACCCATATGTAGTATACTGAGGTCAGGGCAATGTTGCGCGAGCCATAGCGTTGAGCCGATGGAAGGCATATCCGATGAGAACTCGTCATCCATGAATAGACTTGTGAGTCTAGGCCAAGCTGCCGCCATTTCCTCAACATCGTGGTCGACGACAGAGATGCAATACCGACTATGAGAAAATGTGAGTTTGAGTTCACGAAGGTGCTGTAAAGATAATAGTGGGTATATGGCGTCGAGAAGACGATGTTGTCCTGCCGTGCTGTTAACTATTTGAATACCAGAAGTCGCATCGAAACGCATCTCTAACACATCTATAGTGTTTGAACACGCATGTGACAGGGTATCCAGATATTTGTGTAGCTTCTCGACACCAACAACTCCAGACAACTCGCTAGAATAAATCTGGACTAGGGAAAGGCGTTTCAAGCTTGGTAGAGAAACACCGGCAAAGAGTTGGGTGAGTGTCTCTATGGCCCCAGCTAACGATAATCGAACCAAGGTCTGCAAGCAGATCCCCGCGAAGTCGTGAACTGCCCCTGGGGCCAAAAGTGAGATAGTAAGGTCGGCAAGTTGTTCTATGCTGCTGAGTCTGCGCAGCAAGGGACCACCAGGCGCCGTTCTTCCCACATAAACGCGACGGAGAAGTTTGCTAGTCGGTATCCAAGATGGGAAGCCTTCAGTCGCAAAACTGACCACAAGATTGAAGGACGTGAGATTTGAGACCTGAGACGACACGTTTCGCATCGACTCTGCGAAGGCGAATTCTAAAGTGCGTCTCGCCTCGACTGAACTTGAAGGAATAACCTCGCCTGCGCTGGATACACGTATTCTGAGCGTATGGAGGGTTTGAGTTGCGAAGAATACAAGTGCGAAATCGATGAGTGTGCGCTGTACCCAGGTGAGCTCCCGCAGGAGGGGTAACAGAGGTTGCGCCAAGTTCTTCTAATGCAAATGAAACAGGGCGGACGTCTCAACCTTTGTGGTAATGCCTTTGATATATACGAAGCGGACACGCCGCGCGTATTGCCGAAATTTTTCCCATCTACATAAAGGTATGTCTGTGCAAAGACACTGAAACGAAGCTTGTTACTACGCGTTAAGCTAGGCGGGAAGATTGGAACATACCAATACATCATCGTTTGAACCACTCCGAACGACTCCAATATTGCAAACAATGGCATTAAATTATTCATCTCTCTCCACAAGGCGTCGAGCGCAGGTTCACTGAATGCTTGATAAACGCGGGCACATCTAGCTAGTGAGCGACAGGCGCGCGCCCTTCTGTCTCCGCCGTACGGTACCACCAGTACTGATACCAGGTCCTGTCATCATGCTGCCAAAAATATGAACGAGGATATCGTGAGTCTGTAGCGCCACTTGGCAAGCAGTCATAGTGAAGTATTGAGATGAAAGAAGTTAGAGTTGGGGTTGAACAAGACAGCCTGTGCGAAGGTAAGACAAGTGAATAGAGTTTACTGATAGATGCTTATGATGAGCAGGTGACTTACTGCGGTTGCCAAACGTCGACGTTAAAGTTCAATCCAGATCTCGCCAACGTAGGAGGTGCCCATCATGGCCCAATGGTTGCGTTCACGCGAATAAGCAAGGTATACTTGACAGACTTGCACACACCTATTCAGCATTGTTTTGGAAGTATTGCATAGGTCCTGGACGCGAATCGAGCTCCTTCAACGAAACCCAAGCTGTTCTCTCTCCAACCGTCGACTAGGCCTCTTGAGATTGACCCAAAAGTAAACTGAGAATTACAATTTGAACTCAAATATGCTTATCAGGCCGGTACACCGATGTACATCTCGGAAATCGCTTACAATCACAATAGTATATTCCTTGTGTGTCATCCCGTAGGTAGACTGTAGAATCAAGAACGGACAGAGATGATAACGTACAAGAAATGAGACGATGACTCATCGGACTTCAATGGTTGTAACTCGATGGGTGCCTGAAAGAGAACGGAATACAAGAGTCGAACCCCAGCTCGTTTGTCCACGGAAGTCTCCGTTGGACGCTCTAGAATGTCAGACGGTTCACTCCACCCCTTAGCGACTCCAGTGTCCTCTGCAGCGTCCTGTTGAATCTGCACACACCACACTGCTCACTCTCCACATGTTGGCACAGCGCACTCAACGTGCGGAACTCTGCACCACAACCGCTATAGCCACGCGGGCAGCGGTAGATTCTGTCTGCATGGGCAGGACTCTTAAGGTGCTGGTTAAGTGCGGGAAGGGTGTTGTACTCGCGGTGGCACAGGTAGCACTCGAAGCGATCGCCATTCCAGGCGCGGTTCGTTGCCCACATCTCCACTGTCTGTGTGGATGTAGAGTACCCCTGAGGCCCACCAATGAGCCGCGCTGGATTGGTGATGATGTTGTTCCTGTCGTACTGGACGACGACACGGTTGAGCGTCTCGCGTGTAATGCGCGACGGACAGGTGCCCGATTCGAGGTGGAGGGTGAGCGCAGCGATAGAGGGGAAAGCACGACTACACCGATCTCCTGGGCATTCGACTGTGCGGCCTTGGTGAATAGATGACTTAAGGTGGGTCCGCAGGTGCACATCGCTCTGGAAAACGCGCTTGCAGCTTGTGCAATATGGATGCTTCTGACGATTATGCTCGTGCAGCCCCACCTCAAAGTTGAATATCTGCGCAGCTGCATCAGCGCCATAGTGAGCGTAAACTCTATGAATAAATCCTACACTGTTGCAGATAGGACAAAAGTAATGGACATTCTCGAAATGAGAACGGAGCTTGTGAGAAGAGGGGAAATGATCATCGCAGCGTTGACAATAGAAGTGAACAGAGCTCTGCACGTAATGCTGCGTGAGTCCCAGCTGTGACGGAAAGTCCCTGTTGCATCTGTAGCAGACGTTGTGTGCGTTGGAGTTGTCTTGGTGTTGTTCGAGGGCACGTTCGCTCCCGAAGTAGCGTTCGCAGCGGTCACAGTACTCCATGGAAATGAGACGGCGTTGCGAAATCTACGACGATGCGGTGGTTGGAGATACGGATAGTCAAAGAGAGCTTGAAGGGTCATAGATCGCTGCATTAAGTTCAAAGGCCGCACGTTATGGTTACATAAGGTCGATCTGACCCTGAGTGCCTATCTCTCAGGAGTGGAGGAGTCCTTGAGAATTCTTCAGCACATGCGTTTACTCTCGTTGAACACTTCCTCTACACGCGTACATATTTGTACCTGTGAGTTCAGCTCAACTCGCTCTGTGCCTTTGCAAATCAATGTATAAGGCCTAATATCCGAGTTGATAGTGGCCAGATTTTGTATACAACAGGCCAAGTGTTACTTCCCGTACCTCACTTGTGCGTATGCACCTGTTTGCTCTACTCCTTTCCGATACACCAATAGCTTCTACTTATAGCTCCTTTTCCCCAACAAATCCTCTTCATGCCACCTTGGATGCCACCATATACGCCAAAGTGTTCCCCGCTTTGATCTCGCATTAACACACACCACACAGTAAGTATGCGATTGCATTTGTATTGCGAGGGGGACTCAACGTTGTTGCATAAAACGTGCAGATGCCAGTAGCTGAGTATCGTAGACGTTACAAAGATACATTCACCAGTACTCGTGCTCTGCACGAGTACGAGGAGGACTTTGGAATTCATTGTGACACCTGCAAGAAAGTCTTTACGACGGACAAAGCCCTGTCGAAGCATCGTATCAAGGCACATCACCATTGTGTGCACTGTGATCAGTCGTTTTCCTCTGCAGAAACACTATCTTCCCATGATGCAAAAGAGCACTACTGCTCAGTATGCGATGCGGTGAGTGATATCCATACACCTCAAATACAATGCTTCTATCCTCGTTCTCAGATGGTAATTTCGAAGTGGGAGCATTCTAAAGAGAGGCATCAGACTTTCTGCATCAAATGCCAACGCCATTTCCAAAACGTGGATGGTTTTGCAACGCATATGAAGTCCTCCGCACACCAGGAGCGAACGCTCGTCTGCCCCAGCCGAAACTGCGCAAAGCGGTTCATTTCCGCAGCTGGCCTTGTTGCTCATCTAGAATCCGGCTCGTGTCCTTCGCACATGACGCGCAAGCAGATAACTCAGCTCGCCATTGATATCGACACTACCAACATCGTCACAGACCCATCCCATCTGCTCCACGACTCGGGTGCACCACCTGAAGCATTTGCGATATGCGCAACGGAACTCTCGTTCAATGGGCGCAAATATGAGTGCTTCTTGTGTCATCACGAATATAAAACTCTTTCCGCGCTCAATCAGCACCTTGCGAGCCCCGTGCACGATGCAGATATATACTGGTGCCCCAAAGACTGGCAAGGATGCGGCACTAAGTTCCGTGTGCTTAGTGCCCTTTGCCAGCACGTCGAATCCGAAAGGTGTGGTATTCGGCGTTTCAAGGACCCTATGCAGGAGGTCATTGGGTCAGTTGCGGACAGGATGAAGGGGTTGGTGTTATAATATCGCCGCGACCCCTTGTCATCACTGTGTTATGCAGCGAAGACAAGGAGTTGGCAGTCTAGGCTTGGTCGAGTCCGGATCTATGGTATTGGTTGTGTTCAACATCTGTCTCAACTCTTGTATTATCCTGTTTCCGATCACCGGCAGCCGCCATTTGCGAATTTGAATTATGTAATATTGCGTGACTGGTTGTTCGTAACTTAAAGTGGCGCCGCGACAGTTGCGAGAGCCGTTGTTCTTTTTCCTTTGCTCTCTCACGACAAATTATAGTTTCTTCAAAGACGGTGAATCATTATAACAATGTATCTATTTTATTTGTTGACCGCCTCAGTCTTTTCCGTCAAGGCTTCCTATCTCTATGGCTTATTGCAATCGGTGTAATCGTACCTTTCGCAGCGAAGCCGCGCTTCAGCAACATAAAGAGGACTCCCCTAAGCATCACTACTGCGACGATTGCAACAGGGACTTCGCCACCGCAGAAGGGCTTATTCAGCACTACACTAACCATCGAGCTCACTCGTACTGCCCTCGCTGCGATGAACATTTCGACGATGACGACGATCTCGATGACCATATAGAGGAGTATCACTATTACTGTCATCTCTGTAAACGGTAAGTCCTGTTGTCCCGTATTGCCTAAATCGCGCCGGTGACTGGCAGCAGGTTTTACGACACCGAACGTGCCTTACAAGATCATTGTGAAGATAACCACCCTTTGTATTGTGGCGAATGCCAGCGGTGGTTCCAGAGCGAGTCGAATCTCAGTGCTCATCGCAAGTCCTCTGTGCATCAGGAACGCACTATAGTTTGCCCCGGCAGAAACTGTTCAAAGCGCTTTATCTCCGGTGCGGGCCTCATTCTCCACCTGGAGTCTGGAGCCTGCCCTTCACGTATGTCTCGTGAGCGCATCAACCGCCTCGCCGTCCAGTACGACACGACCAATGTCATTACTAATCCCTCACGCCTCATCGAGGGATCTGGTGGGTACACCCTACCCGAGCGCACTGTCACAACATGGGCGACGGAACGTTCGTTTAATGGGACCAAGTACGAATGCTTCTTGTGTCATCGCGAGTACCGGACCCTCGCGGCGCTCAACCAGCATCTCGGCAGCGCTGCCCACGACGACGATATCTATCGGTGCCCGAGAGGCTGGCAGGGGTGTGGCACTGAGTTCCGAACACTCAGTGGCCTTTGCCAGCACGTCGAGGCCGAACGCTGCGGCATTCGCAGATTCAATGACCCCATGCAAAGTGTTATTACTTCCATGTCCAGCGCTTTGAGGGGCCTGATTCTGTAGAGTATATGGCGTACCCCGGATTTGGTCTTGGTGGGAGTGCAGACTATGTTTGAACGCATACTGCACTCGAACCTAGACGGCTGTGCATGTCTTGTATATCTAAATTTCGCGTCCTGCTCGTCGTTTACTGCTGTCTTGTTGTCTTGCTGCACAGTTGTTGGTTATCCCGATTGTTAGACTGATGTTTTTCCGAGATTGCTACCACTGCCATCTGATGCTGTGTATGTACAATAGCGTATTGGTCCGAGTCTGACTGTCAATGCAGCACTGTATAAACGCGGTATTTGCAGTGGTGGCAATCTAAGTGTCAAATTGTGCGAAGGCATGTGACATCCTCATGGTATACTATGAGGGCACGTACAATGGCACATGGGACGGGTCTTCTGTCTCAGTCACCGTTGTTTATCGTCTTTCCCAAACCTCAACGCTTCGCTTGCTGGTCTTGGGAGAACAAAGTGGATACATAGTCGGCGCACTATACATCAACAGCAGTACGTATTTGTATTATACAGCATCAGGTCGATATTTCTGACAATGGTTGATTGCATCAGCTCCTCGACATGGCTTTTTCTTGTGGGATATGCAGCCAATCTTTCTCAAGCGCAAAGAAGTTGCAGAAGCACTTGTCCTCGAAGCATCAGGAAGATATATTGCACGTCTGTATCCAATGTAACATGGTCTTTTCCTCGTCGGTTCTCCTCGTCCAACACCACATGCTGCACTACAACCAGGCAATGGCGACACTTCAATTAGCTCAGATCGGACTAGAGTTGCAGTACTACCACACACAGCTGGCCCAGTTACAGCAATATTTCCATAATTCCCCGCAGCCACCCATCGAGCGCTCTGTCCAGTCTGCTCCTGGCCATGAAAGGGATGTTCACGATGACGATAATCTTGATGGTATTGAGGGATATCATTACTGCTGTCATCTATGTATCAAGTAAGTGTAGTAATATTTCTTTTCCAAATCTCGTATATAGCGATAGCATTGACATCTTTCGTAGATTTTATGATGACCATTTGACCCTACAAGCTCATTGCCGTGAAGAGCATCCCTTATACTGCGGAACATGTCGGCGCTGGTTCAAGAACGAGTCAGGCTTGGAGGGTCATCTAAAGTCTTCCATACACCAAGAACGCACTCTCGCCTGTCCAGGACGCTTGTGTACTAAGCTCTTCCTCTCCGGAGCGGGCCTCGTCAATCATCTCGAATCAGGTGCCTGCCGCTCAGGTGTGTCCCGCCAGCAGATAAATTGTCTCGCGATTCAGTACGACAAGAACAATATCATCACAAATCCGGCACGACTTATCCATGGTTCCGATGGATACGCCGCGCCGGAGAGCGTAGTGACGATATGGGCGACGGAAAGCGCGTTTAACGGGCGCATGTACGAATGCTTGTTGTGCCACCGCGAGTTCAGGAAGCTCCATTCGCTCAATGAGCATCTCGGAAGCCCCGCACACGACGAGGAAATATACAGATGCCCGAAGGATTGGCAGGGCTGTGGCGCTGAGTTCAGGACGCTCAGCGCGCTCTGCCAGCACGTCGAGTCCGAATCCTGTGGCATTCGTCGGTTCAAGGATCCGATGGAGAATGTCATTGGCTCGATATCGGGGAGCATGAAGAAACTCGTTCTCTGAATTTGAAGCATCAGGTGCGCCTTGATGTCATTGCGATAGCGTGTCACCGCTAGAAACGCTACTGTCGTTGTAGAATTGACTTTATTTGATTCAATGCCCCTTGCAAGTGTCTTTCGCTGTCGCTCTGTTCGTTACCCTGTATGCCTGTAAGTTCTGCTTGACCTGTATTTGTAAATTGGCCATGAACTTTTGACCGTTTCCAACTGTTCTACTTGTTATCATGCCTCCACTCCTGTTACTTGACTGTACGTTGTGATAGCCGCTACTTCGCATACAGACGTGTTCCGATAGCCGCGAGAAATGCTATACGCATACAATTTACGCGCATATAGTCAGTCTGGATCGCTTGGCCAGTGGTGATCACAAAAAATCGAACCACACCCAAAATGTGTCAACTCCTTCAGCTCTCTTTGCGGCTTCGATCATGTCAGTTCGTGAGCATTCGTTGGGCCAGTGTGTTGAGTAGTCTGGATTGCAGAACGTGGCATTGATTCAACATTACATATATACACAGTTCGTACAATGCATTCACATCATCGCGTCATCTGTACACACAATTACAACTTCACAACACGTAGCGGAAATCCCTGTTTTGAATGTCCGTTAAATCTAGATATGCCTGGAAAACGTAGATTCACAGTATAAGCATTGAAAGCCTAATAATGACCAGCAAGAAGAGTGGCACTACGTACCTTCTCTACTTTACGCTCAACGCGCTTGCCATCTGGAAGGACAACCTCGATGTAGACATCGTCGTAAGTTGTGTCAGGCGGCTCCGCGTCCCTGCGCTTGTTCTCGCGCGCGAGTAGGAGCCTGATAATAAGGAACAGAATCATGCAGCAAACATAACAGATGCCGATAATGGTCCACGGAACGTGGTTTCTGCAGACGCATCTTCAGAGATTCGGAAGGACGAGAGCTGCCGCTATCCACTTACCGAGGCACGTATTGCGCCTGCCACATGAAGGGTCCGGCGGCGTTACCGACACAGTAGGCGATCAGCATAATCGCGTTCACAGTGACTTTCTTCGTGTGCCCCGCGGTGACGTTTGTCAACCACGACAGTGCGAGCACGAAAGCTGTCGTACTGATCCCTACCCGCGACGAATGAGATCTTCAAATTCGGCGCGGGGAAGTCCTATCATACGTACCTGTCATCCACTGGCCAAATAGAAGGCCTATCCTGTCGCTCCAGGGGAGTAGGTTCACGAGCAGGATACCAAGCAGCGTCGGAATGAAATAGAAAAACCCGACCCACGCACGCGCGTTCTTCAATCGCGCGGCAATGTGCACGCCCGTGAAGATCGTCGCTATCTCCACGAACCCACTAACGATGCCCAGCAGGGTCGTCTGCAGGTCCGAGAAGCCGAACGAGGACATGATGATCTGCTGCTGGTTCGTAAGGGAGTTTGGGACATTGTCCAGCGCAGAAAACAGCGCGAAGAGCCATGTCTTGGGGTCGCGGAGCGCCTCGTAGAACCTGCGGATGCGTACGGTGTCAGTGAACCCAGGTCGGAGTTAGAAGGTAACGGAAACACATACTGGTCCTTTTTGAAATGTTTGTTCTCGACACCGGTTTGATTTGTCTGAGTATGAAGCATTTTTGATCAGCGAATGTATCAAGTCGATCGTCGATCGCTTACACTAATACGCTGCACTGCAGTCACTCGTTCTTCTTGCGTAAGGAACCACGCGTTCGTGGGCGAGTCTGGGAACATGCACCTATGTGGCGTGTTAGTATTACTGGAGCCAATCAGGATATCTGAATCTTCACCAGAATGCAACAGCGGTGATTAAAGTCAACAAGCCCGTTATGATTACAAGCCTAGCAAGAACGATCACGATTGGAAACGGAAGCATTTTCCGAAATAGTGATCGCACCATTGCCAAGGCTGGAAGCTAGAAGTGCTCGCGTGCAAGACTCCAAAACTGATGAAACCAATTATAATCTGGGCTGGAATAGAACACTAAGAAACTCGGAATTTTCACGTTTTCTCAGACATCAATCATACCTGTTCCATTCATCAAGACTGTCGATATTATCTCAGAGTTTGCATTTCAATAGATGGGATTCAAGTACACTTACACCAATAGCCGACTCGAAGTGTTTGTTCCACACGTGTATAAAACATAGACGTGACGATCATGAAGCCGGCGGTGATCGAGCCCTCGCACATTCCCAGAACTAGTCGGCAGACGAAAAGCCCCGCGAAGTTCTTGCACGCCGCGTGGCAGCATAGCGCGACACCCCAAACAAAGATGTTAGCACTGCGTCATGCGACGTGCGTGAGGTCTATACTACTAAATTGGATCGATTGTTAAAGACTCACCTCATCCACTTTCCGACGGGCAAACGTTGCAGTGCGAGGTTCTGGGGATACTCAAAGACGAGATAACTCAGATAGAAAATTGTTCCCAGCCTGAAAAAGACGAGTCTTGTCAATTGATAGATCATGACTATTTTTCAGTTGACGAAAATACCAATTATATCTGTTGGGCGTTGTTAGAAAATGTGCAAGATCCATACATAGGGGATGACTCACTGATTTGTCGTAAGGTGCGTCGCAGTCCTGGATTACACATATATCAGACGCTTTGGTCTCTAACTACTTTACTCGAGCGTACTTTATACCAAGGATAGCAGCGCTTCCGAGAGTGACCTTGTCCATAAATTGTATCCAATAGAGGACTCAAGTCGAGCTATCAGACATGCTAGGAAGCTCGTTCACGTAGTTCCGACTCACCACACATAAGTGGCATAATGTGCCAGTCTATCTTCCTCCTTATCCTCAATGCTTCAGCCGGATCCACCGCCATCGCTGTCCCAGCAACGAGCTGTGCGCCCGTGTCGACTTCATCATTGACGAGGGCGACATGGGTAGTCACTCCCTTCTCGTCCTCGAGGGACTCCTTCGTGATCGACTCTCGTTCAGAGTTCATCATGCGCGCAGCGGCCTGGGGGAGAGGACAAGAGGAGACGGCAGACGTGCACCACAGCTGGGAGTCCACTCAGAAGGGGTACCGATGCCAAGTCGGGAACATTATATTATCGGTACGGCATGTTCAGTCCGCTCCACTTCTTCTCTATCAGCTGAAAATTGCACGATAGTCTCGTGCGTGGTACCAGCGTCAAGGATCCAACAGACGTCAAGGGCGAGAGGCGATAAGGCACAGAGATAGGGATTTGCTTACATACCGGGGGAGAACTCGGAAGCGGATGTGAGCAGCGTGGGTGGTCGAATTCTAGCTTCGCTAACGGTTCGGCCAATTCGATGTGAGAAGAATGATCCCGAGAGGAAGTCGTAGATAGGTCGCTTTTCGTAACTCTTGGCAAAAGATGCGAGCGGTCCTCCCGTATCATGAGCAGGCGCTCCTGACACTTGCACGTACCTGTACGAAGTCACAGAAAACATCAAGGTAACAGAGGAATGTCCGCAAAGTGGACGATCAATGAGCAATGATGTGACACAGCGCGGCTCAGCTCGGCTTTTCCCCGTGGCGAAGGGGATGACGAAGGAGAGCAAAATCACGAAGATCACAGTAAGTAAATGAGGATGTATTCCGTACGAGAAGATGAAGTGGCGCACACGCGAGCGGAAATGAACCACATCTTCGGTCATGAGCCACAAAAATTTATCAATGCTCAATTAAGCCCATCTAGGCGCATCAGAATACCACCACTTGATCAAGGAAAGGTAGCAGCATGGCGCTGAGAAAGAGAGGAGGGCAATCGCAGCGAGACGAATTGATGAGGAGAGTTGGGGGCAATACGCTAACGTTCGCGCTTGAGGGAGCGCATGTACGATGAAGCTCAGCGGGGGGCATGTGACAGAAGATCAACGACCTACCTGACTGGTCCTGAGGTCCTAAAATGATCGCAATGCCCAACTCAGCTACTCGGCAGAGTGCCCAGATTGTGAAGCCGCCTTACAAGTAAATCAGCCCCGGACACGATCGACGACATCTCATACATTGTAGCAACAGGATAGCGTCAGACAGTGCAAGAGCTCGTTCTCGATATCGCAACCTGAAAGCGACGCATGCAGGATGATGCAACTGGGATTTCGAACCGAGCAGCATGATAAGGGCATTAACCGACGTCGACACATGGCATCTAGAGCCATCAGAGATGAAATATGAACAAGCCCGGCCCGAGAGCTGTTCAGAATTCAAGACTTGGTGTTGTGATCCATTGTTGCCGCTAGTTCCGTGTACACTGCAGCAGGAAAAAGGAAAAGTGGAATCCAGTCGAGTGTTTTATTTCGCGGCGACGCTTGACTGTGAGCGCTTGAGCAAGCGCGTCGGATTTGGATGTATTTTCAAGTTCTCACGCCATCGCGCGTCTTTCACTTGATTGACTCCATCCGCTCAGTGCTGAGACACTATTCCGTGATCAACGTCAACATCAGTGTTTACTCAACGCCAGAGACCAGTCCATCTTATTTCATGATTCAGAGTGCTTTCAAATGAGAATTTTCTGCGCGCCTTTTCGGGGATATCTGAAACTCCAAGTTGTGAGTAGCCATCCTGTCTATCACCTTCAACTAACACCATCGAGCTCATTCACGAGTTCACGAACGCAACATGTGCCGTTCTTATGTCCACTCACCTCAGTGTTAAGCCGTCGGCATTGACGTGGGTATATAAACTTGAATGCGCATGATTCCGTACAATTCCCAAGCAACGACCGAAAGTCGACTCGTCGACTTATATGCCCCTTCGAATCTCCTGCGAGCCAAGCACACTTTACGATGACGGAGGAAAACACTTGCAGCGTCAGGAGGGCCTCAAAGTAAGGTGCAATTCCGTGTGGACACATGTTGTCGAGTGCACAGGTCAGTTATCATCCTCACATTGAGATGACGATGCATCTATCGTCAAGGGTTGTCCAGCCTGAACTGACGGTGAATTGTCAGCCATGCTACACTTGCTTTGAGCTTCAAGCTTTTTACTACGCCCTTCTCATCACCTCTTATCAGAGCAGGTGTTCGTTATACCACGCAAATTCGCGTAGCAATGCGTCCTTGATAGTCGATGCGAGGTGCCATCTATGACCTTCCCCCTCGTAAAAGTGCAAGGCGACCTTCTCATCAGGTGCGTTATCCGTGATTTCTTGCAAGAACTTGTGTGCCTGGTCGGGTGGGACGACCCTGTCCAGTTTCCCTTGCATCATCTTCCGTGCAGCGTTACATTAGCAACCGCGACACGACGGCGCAATGAGAAAAGGCAGGGCTTACCAGGAGCGGAACGCTGATGTTGACTTCGCCCGTCTTACTGACAATATTGTAATATGGGCTACGGTCCTTGTACGTCTGCGGCACTTCGTCGGGGGAGCCGCCAAGGAGCTTATACATATACTGCATCTCGAACTTATCCGTGCTCTGAGCGAGCAATACGAGATCAGGAACTCCACCATATGTAGAAGCGGCAACCTTGTAGAATCTCGGGTTCGGTGCGAGGGTGACGGAGGCCATGGCGTTGTAGCCACCGGCGGAGCCTCCCCTGATCGCAACACGCGCGAGGTCAATCAACCCCTTGGAAGCAATAATGGAGACAGCATCTTGGCAATCCTGTACGTCGACGATGCCCCACTTGCCTACGAGACGCTCACTGGAGAAAACATGAAGGCGCCACCTGGATCGTAGTGGGGGCGGCACTCACATGTATTTCCGACCGTAACCTGATGACCCTCCATAGTTGACATCGAGCCTACGCATTGAGCGCATTAAAAACTTGAGTAAATGTAGAACCCCTGTAGTACACTGACCATGCGAATCCCCGGGACGTGAAGAACATTTTCTGCCAGTTCAAAACCTGGGTCTCCATACCTGTTGGTCCTCCATGAACCTGGACAATGCAAGGTGGCTTTTCGTCCGGAAGGCTCGTGAAATCGGGGTTCTTGGGAGGATAGTAGACGACGTAAAGAGGTTCGCCGCCTCTGTCAAGCGTCATGGGCTCTGGGGCGGAGATGTATGGATTGTAAAGTGAGACGCTCCCCGCACTTGCTTTCAAAACCGTGTAGGTCGGCGTAAACGAAGGAGCAGCAAGTGTACAGTGGAGAACTCCACCAGGGGCAGTGCTCATACTGGCGGTAAAAACGAACGTCTGGGGTCCCGTTTGTCGAAGATGCTGTGCCACCGTGTACGGGAAATCAGCAATCAAAACTGGATCAGAAGGCTTTGTAAGGTCGAGCATGTAAAGTATGTTTCGACCGTCTTGGAATGCGGTGAAGACTCCATAGCTGCCGCCGCCTTGGAGAGTGTATGGTTGTACTCCGAGTTGCCATGCGGGCTCTGCAAAGTCTTGCGAGATAGGCTTTGACAAGGCAGCAGCAGCGAACCCTGTCTCTGTGGAGTAGGTAAATGGGTTTTGGAACCCGTTCGACTCATCGGAGGTGTAGACGAGCTTTGTATCCGATATCCAGCTGGGATGGGTTACCGAGATCTTAAGCTTTCCGCCAGCAACGTAAATCGTGTTGGAGAGCACGATGTCACCGTCGACTATGGATACGTCTGCAATGTAGATCAGTGCACCCTCAAAGGGCATGTCAGGATGGTACCACTCCTGCCAAGCAATTTTGGTGCCGGAAGGGTTGAACACGGGGGCCGCATAGAAGTCGGCGCCAGAAACGAGATCCTTCTTCAGGCTTGTAGTCTTGGTATTTATGAGACAGAGAGTGTTAACAACCGCCTGTGATGTATCAATTGTATGATCCTCAAGAATTGATACGAGGAGATGTGTTTGTTTGGGGTGAACAGCAAAATTTGCGTAACGCCACTTGGGATTCTCTGTTAGATAAATATTAGTTTGCGCGAAGGGGATGGGTGCATCGAGGAGCGTACCAGGAGTCACAGCGACAGGGGTACCACCTTCTCGGACGGCATATACTCGGTTGTCCACAAAGTTAGAGAAATAGAGGGTGCCGCCGTATGCAATTGCGGCAGCACCACCATACTCCTGCACAGCCGAGCGAGCACTGTACGGAGAGGGGATAACGTCCTTGTTCGTCGCGGTATTTACAAGGGCACATCGTCCGCCATCGTCCGGCCGTTGTTCGTTATGATAGATGACTGATGTGACTGGATCAACGATAACGTCGTCAAATACGATGTTCTATCGGGTGAATCGTCTTCAGCTGTACACGGAAATGAGACCCGACGGAACGAACGCTTTGGACGGCAGTCTCGGGTGTGATGGGGGATACCCATCTTCCGTAAGGAGCTTCAACGGGCATGGTGAATTCAAAATGCGGAGAGAGAACTAGGTAGATTGCATCGACGACACGGCCCTCCTTTTAAACCAGCACTGGCACGAAAAACTGTATGGAAACAGGACTCTGAAACCAATGTTTGCTTAGGAACCTGATATTCGCTACCCCCTGAGTCCGGAGCGGCGTCCTCGATCGATTACCGCCGGACCAGTCTTAGTTACGGACGCTCTGCATGTAAGTACTTACCTGCTGGTAAGATGTGGATAATAAACTAGGGATTTAGAATAAATCAAAATAAACCGGTATTTGTTTGGCGATGCCGGTCCAGCAACAGGCGGGACCCCGAATACTGCATGGACACACCGTTTTTCAGAATTCTGCGCAGTGGAGGCTCCAGGGTTCCGCGCGACGTTTGCCACTAGTTTTGGCTGCTACTGTAGCGGTATACACTCTGCACTAGGTATACAGTGGCGCTTGCCTGACATATGGCTTCAACTTTGTGGGGACATCGTGACTGGGGTAAGCGTGGCAAAGGAGGAAGAGAGAAAGTCGACGAACTGGGATTGATTCAGGTGAGTGTCGCTCGTGCTTAAACGTTTGAACTGGCGGGATGGCGGAAGCTCATGTAATCTTCACCTAACAGCTTCACGATCCGCCTCAAGGACTATGAACACAAGCTTGCGGAGTGCACCCTACTGTACACTACTCGCGCTAGTCCAGCAACGAGTGGTGGGACAACAACGGCGAGAGCAACTTCCACGTCGGGTTCCGTTGCACGCCGGACCCCCCCAAGGGGCACTCGCTCAAGATGACTTGTACGAGGATGGGGATGAGCGCGGAATTGGGACATTTGCAGCAGCGGGCACTGAATACGCTGCAGACAACACCCATGACTACCACTGTTTGTAAGCGAAGTAAAGCGACCGGCACATAGGCTGTGGTGGTAGTAGCAGCAGCTGTCGAGGCGAGCAAGGAGAAGACACAGTTGGACAGTTGGATGCATGTGATTCCTCTGCTTCGTTTGTATTCATCGTTGCTCCCGTCCTTCCCCCCTGCTGCGTTGACATCGGTTGGACGCATTCGAGCGGTAGGACTGAGCGCTCAAGCCTCCTGACAAGCCCTACACAAGCCTTCATCTCAAATGGCTCAGTCTCTTGAACTATTATGGCGCTCCGGGCATGGTCAGTTCGTCTTTGATGGTTACACCTCCAACAACACTCTCGAATGGAGGATGTAAGGGCCCTAATAGAATGTCATCACCCAGTTCGTATGTTCCTCCCCCTGCCGCGGTGACCATCGGTGAGTAGCCGGTAGCAGTGGGCTCTCTTGCGTCTTGGGCAGGTGCTGGGGCCACTCGACTTCAAGTTGACATGGACGGGCATGAGCGAGCATAACTTAGTCTGGCTGTATTTCACGCTATACGTGAGGGACTAGTTTTACACGTATATGGTCTCTAGGTGTGGGTGGAGGGACGTCAGGTCAGGATTGATCAGTTCACCAGAAGGGGTCAGCACAATGAAACTGCGCGATACCATCTTGGACCAGCCATCACTCTGATAAATTCCTGGCAATCGTCCGTGGCGTGTCAACAAGCATCCAAAGCATCGGTGCGATCCTCCATCTATAAATCCAGAGCCCCAGATGCCGATGGCATAGGTGTTTCTCGCGCTAACCGTAAAAGGCCCCTCCGCATGCACCACCGTGTCCTCTATCCATTTTGAAGATCGACAATGGAAGGTAGCTTGAGGGACGACAGTGTTGTAAGGTGTCACATTTGCAACCGTAATGGGTAGTATCAACATTGCAATCCGCAATCCCCTGTTGGTAAGCGCAAACGGTTCCTTCCCAAACGACACCGAATATCCGCTCATAGAATCCGTGTAGCCAAGGTAACAGTCGGGTAAGGAAGGTAGCATCTGCGATGGGTGACCAGTGAACGCGGGCATGCCCGCCCAGTCGAGCACAGCAGGGTCTTCTGATATCTGAATAATTGCGTCCATGAGTCTGAAGAAGGCTTGGTCTGCTCCCTCTCCATACGCAATCGAGAGGCTGACGCCAAACATTCCCATCAAAGAGTACGCTCGGTCTTCTCCTCTAGTGACCCTCCTCTTTGCAGCCCACACCATTCGCTTTGGAACGTCCGAAGAACCGGGGTAAAAGGAGACCAGGTCGAAGGAATCTATTCCCGTTGCGCTCGCTAGTCTGTCTAACATTTGTGCGGTGACAGGATTTTCAACAGACTCTCCGCGAGAGCGCCTTTCGTAGACCATGTCTTTGTCCAGGTCAACCTCAAGATTCGTCAAGGGCACCCATCCTTTCCCGAAAAATTTGACTTTCTTTGGGGCTAAAAGTTCCTGTAAAGTCCACCCTCGTGTGAACCATTCATCCTGCTGTAGGTTGTCGATGGCAGTAGTGTCCGCAAGAAAGGTGAGGCATATCGCAGCATTCTGGTACCAGCGGTACATAGAACGAATTGATTCATCGAGCTCAGAGCTGCTCGCTTTGTCGATACAGCAAGTATCGGACCACGCGAATTCGATACCGTACTTCGACGCTGCCTCGCAAAACTGCTTTAGCTTTAGGAATCCAGCGTCAGGAGGTTTATGAGACATAAGCATCTCTTGGTACGTTGGCTCCTTGTTTAGCCAACGGTGAGATAGAATGGCGTATCGTGCATGCTCATTCAATAGACTAGTTATGACCGTTTCCCTGGAGTCGTCGGGCTGATCCTTGCATCGTTGCTGAATGGTTTCTTCTGAAAACAAGACTTGGAGGTGATCCTTAACGGAAGCCCTGTCCATGAGACGAAATTCGCGGATGTATATCAAGTGAATCGGCATGTTATTGAAAATATGCTGGGTTAACGCGTTGTTCACATCTATAGACATTTTGGGAGGAGACTCGAGCTGATTGTGCTATCAAGCTATTATATGACCACGACGAATTTGAACACGTACGAGGCCAGGGGTCCGTGGCTTGCGAAAGAAAGCTTTGTATAATTCGAACTTCATTACGATAGAGACACTGGGTGCGGCTTTTGAACAATGCGAGTCGTACCAGCATGTAAGATATTTACAATGGTACGACAGCCTAAAGCTGGAGCTGGAGAAGGCAGACGCACCGAGCCATCACAAAGTAATGTGCGGGAACTTTAACTTAAAGGTCGCCGCCGCCGCTCGGACGCCTTGAGCCCACCATGCTGCCCACAGGCGTCAATCCACCCGGGTGAGCATGTGACCCGCCCGTCCGAACCTTGCCATTCCCAATGCAAGTTTGCAGTCAATCTGATGGCTGCTCAACCTTTCCTGTATTCTAGTTATCTGCACACATACCATCAACTTCTGTCATTCAGCCTTGAGAAATTCAAGGGGTATGTAGCAACAGTGAACAGGTCTCATCTTCACATATATACGGGAAGAGCTGTCTAGTAAGCTACTGCTAGCGACATGATTTCTTGGCCCGAAGTGAGTGTTATAGATTGCATCGTGGATTTAACAACCACGCAGAAGCTGCATCAAAGGCTTGTTGAAAGTCCACTATGATATCGCTTATGTGCTCGGTCCCAACAGAAACCTACCGAGCATACCGAGCGTACCGTCAGCTCGAACCGTGCTATGAACCGATGACAAAGAATCACGAACTCGGATGAGGTCTGGCACCACACCAGATGCAAGCATGTCTTCTTCCGAAAGCTGCTGGTGCGTAGTGCTGGCTGGGTGAATGACCAGCGTCTTGGAATCACCTGAGCATGGGGATTGCATCAGATTTCTTGGCCACCACGAGGCCGTTCACAACGCTTGGTAGTGACCTACCAACGTTCGCAAGATGACTGGCTAGCTTCAAGCTGTCAACCGCTCTACTCGCGAGCTCTTTGGTTCCTCGGATGCCGAAGGTCAGAACACCGCCGTACGCATTGGGCCTTAGCAGTTCCTTCGCTCGGGCGTGCCATGGGTGATCTTCCAATCCAAGGTACGAGACCCAGGATACTTTTGGATGCTGATATAGCCATCTACGAGCAGTTATCAATGACTGTCATGTCAGATACTTTTTGCGTACTTGCTTTGCTAGCTCTAACGCATTCTCGCACTGTCTTTCTGCACGCAGGCTCAGCGTTTCTAGGCCTTGCAGTAGCAGAAAGGAGTCGATAGGACTCAAGGCAGCGCCAGTATCGCGCAAGAGCTCCGAGCGCAACTTTGTGGTAAATGCCCGTGTACGGAATTTTTCGGTGACCTCTGGGCCTTTGAATCCTTCCGAAGGCGTCGTGAAGCCTGGAAACCTTCCAGAGCGGTCCCAATCGAAGTGTCCTGCCAATAGTTCGGACACTGTTCTTGTTGGATTGACGAAGATGCTCACCTGAATCTACGATAACACCAGCGATGGTGTTGCCGTGTCCACCTATCCACTTCGTGGCACTGTGCACTGTTTTGATGATGTATCAGTTGCAAATATAGAGACGCAAGCAGAGCCGGGATGCTTACGAACAATATCGGCACCGAGGGTGAAGGGGCGAACGAGGTATCCTGAAATCATATGTGAGCTAGCCGCTCGGACTCCCACTACGGCGCACCTCCCATCCCAAAAGTATTGTCAACAACCAACGGAATACCATTCGCGTGTGCAATCTTCATGTTACTGGGTCAGACGTTGTACGACTCCTCGAATAATTGCTCACTCTCGCGAGTTCTGGGATGTCTGGGACATTGAACTTTGGATTTCCGATGCTTTCAACATACAACGCCTTAGTCTTATCGTCTATTGCTACGGCGAAGCTGGCAGGATCGTCGCCGGGAATGAACTTGACTTCTATCCCGAACTTTTTGAAGGTGCCTGTGGCAAACAAGGTATTTCAACGAGATTTTCATCTAGGAAGCTGACGAACGTTTGAAGAGTTTATACGTCTACCGGAACACTCAATTGTTGTGACGAAGGGGAGTGGAAGGTGCTTACTCCGTCATAAACATAAGATCTGGAAGCGCGGTTAGTTGATTCTATGTCTCAAAACTCGGCCTGAACATGTACGTAGATATGATATTGTCACCTGCGTCTGCCAGGTTCGAGATCGCCAAGAATTGCGCAGACTGGCCACTGGAACATGCAACTGCTGCAATGCCACCTTCAAGCGCTGCTATGCGTTTCTCAAATACCTCCTAAAAGATGCATGTGTTAGCTTGGTTAGATGTTTGCTCTCGTATGTGCCCAGCGAGAGTAAGATACTCACCACGGTAGGGTTACTTATGCGTGAGTAGCTGTGTCCGTCTGTTCTGTAGACAAGGAACGCTTCACGTAAGGAGAGCTGGGACTGTATTGGCACGACTGTGCATACCGAAGACCAAACAGGTCGGATCCGTGCTAAACCATTTCCACACACCCATAGTCTCGCTCTCAAGGTCTATTGCTCAACATATCAGCACCGGGACGAACCTGACAATCTTTGAATGAGAAGCTCGCAGATGCGTATATAGGTACTGCTCGAGCTCTGGTCGCCGGATCGACCTCGTAGCCCGCATGAATTTGCAGGGTTTCAAACTCGTAACTGTCGGCGAATGAGTTTATCCTCGGAAAGCGACAAGACTAAGAGTACGTACCTTGATGTCATTTGAACTGAACAAAGCTTATACCAAGGAGCGCAGTAGGTGCTGACAACGAGGTGCTACCTTTCTTCGATCCCTACGACCTCCCTCCCAAAAGCCTATAAACGTCTACTGCACCAGGTCCGCTTATCTATTATCTCACCTTCTCTCGTTGTTACCAGTAATCGCCTTTGCGGCAGGGTCATGTGTTGATGTAATTCGCCACTTCTATGTCAGCCCGCTGACCTTGTCGTAACTTGTACACTCAATGTTGTATAAGGTGCCCAATCATGGAACTGCGCCTCTTAAGAAACACCGGAAGTTTCAAATACAAGGCGCGGTCTCTAATGTTCGTTCGGGTCGCGGAAATGATGTCGTTGATATATTCAGTTGTGAGCATGTGTTCGTGGCGACGAAGTAAGCTATTACCAAACACGTACAAGTTAACCTCTCCTTCTCCGACAGCTGTTCATAGATTGTGCTTCGCATCATTTAGAAAAATTCCTAGTCGAGATAGGTCGTTCGCACGCATGACGCCCAAGACTTGAGGAATAAGGGACGAGCCGAAGCGTGAAGGACGTACCTTCTGAAGTTCTGCCTGTGGATGACTCCCTCTAACATTCGTACCTATTCGTCATAGTGTGTGACTTGTAATACCATGCAAAGTACTGGCATGCATGTACCTCGTACCACGCTCCCCACCCCGCAACACGGCCAAGAGACATGAGTTGGAACTGGCAAAACACTAATATCTCCCACTGAGATTAAAGCAAAAACCTTCCGACACGGGGAATCGAACCCCGGGCTATCGCGTGAGAGGCGATAATGTTAGCCACTACACCATATCGGATTATCACTGAGGCTGCAGAAGATATATAAGTTGACAAATTATACTTCTGCTGCACACCAGCCATTCGATGATCGGTCTTACTTGAGGTATTGGAATGGACATGTGTGGTGTTTAAATGGTGATTGCTTTGATTCTAAACACTGTGGAGATGTCCAATGGATTAGTGTATCTCTCCTGTCTTAGTAGTGGGGAACCTAGTGAAAGCTCCTATCGCAAACGTTATCTTGCGACCATTCTGCACCAATCGATAAGCCGTTGTGGACGTGCGGTCTGCTTTTGCCGTTTCGTGTCTCTTGTCAAGTGCTCATTCCCAATCTCAAGGTTTCATCCTATAGCTATGTCTGCTGCTCATGCATTACAGATTCACGAAATCATCGTCCCAATCTTTGGATTCATGGTGGAAAATCCTAATGGGTATGTGAAGCCGAAAAGCCGAAAAGCATTGGCTCGTTGTGCAAGGGTTTGTCGAGCATTTACCGATCTCGCACTCGACATCCTGTGGAGCCGGATGACAAGTCTCGTTCCTCTATT